CCTCACCAGCCACCCTGGGGCACCACTTCTTCACCCAAACACCCCCCCTCCCCTCCGCCCCTCTCCCTTGGGCGCTAGCATTATTCCCCATCCTCCCACCCCCAGGTTGTGGGGGGCTGTCCCAGCCCCTCTAGAGGTTCTAGCCAATCCAGAGCCTAAGAAGTGAGGGGACCAAAGGGGAGGGGCCAGGGGTGTGGACGAAGACTTTCCCAAGCTCCCCCGAGGTGGGGGGAGCCATGCCTCTTGTCCCCGTGCCTCCCCGCCCCTGCAGCCTCTGATGGGATACTTGGGGCTCTCCCCCTCTTTCCCAAAGCCCTGCCTGTCTTCTGCACAACACGGAGGGAATGTTATTTAAAGGGAGATCAGGAGATTTGCCTTAAATAGGCATGGAGTGCTGTGCCAGGGCCCAGGGTGAAGGGCGGAGGAAGGGGAGGGGGAGGGGAAGGGGGGAGGGGAAGAGGCCACCCTGCGCGATGGCGAGGAGTGGAGCTGAGCCCCCTCCCCCCAGGGCTGTGCACGGCCCTTCACAGTTTTCTGAGCACAGTCCCGGGACCCTCCCCGACCGCAGATGGTCAGGCCCGGCTTATTCCCACCCGCCTCCATTCTGAGGACGAGGAAGCTGAGGCCCAGGCCAGGGGACTGACAGGCACTGGCTAGCAGGTGGCTTCTGGTGCTGGATGCCATGGTCTCTCCACGGCAGCCCCAGGGCTGGGAGGTGTTCAGGGAGGCGAAGAGCCCAAAGATAGGGCTTCCTGTAGAGGGAATGGGGCGGCTGCGGGGTCGGGTGTCATGGAGCCTCTTAGGCACCTGCCTCAGGACTTCGGCTTCTGCCCCCAGGTTGCCCTTGCCAGCCCTCCCAGCCCCAGCTTGTGTCTGGATACTGAGGCACCTCCTCACTCTGCACCTTCCCAGGTGAGCTGGGCTCTCTGGCCCCACACAAGCCAGGGAGGAGGTGAGGGGCAGCCCGGGAGACAGGCTAAAGGAGGGAGCTGGAGCCGGGGTGAGAGGTGTGGTCACTGCCCTCCCTGCAGGGCTGGTCTGGTGCCTGGGATTCACTCACTTCCCTATTCAGTCTCCTTCCAAGCCTCTCCCCTTCCCTCGTGGCCCCGCCCAGCCATTTATGGCTCAGCAGGTGATGCTCTTAGAATCCTAAAGAAATGGAGTCTTGAGTGTGGAATTTCTGGGACAAAGCTAGGGGCCAGGAGGCACCCCATGCTTGCTCCCTTTTGCAAAGGCCCTGAACACTGTGGTGAAGCCTCAGACACCTGGGTGTCCACCCGGGCCTCCCCATCCGCCTCGAGGGGCCCACCTGTGAGTGTCCGTCTCGTCTCCTCTGTAAACTAGATCTAAAGGTGGCCCTCATGCATGCTTAATAGGAAGAGGAGAGAGCTCTAGCCGGTTTGGCTCAGTGGATAGAGTCACAGCCCTCGGACTGAAGGGTCTCGGGTTCAATTTCTTCAAGGACTTTGACCTCGATTGCAGGCTCTATCCTTGGCCCAGTCATAGGAGGCAACCAATCCATGTGTCTCGCTCATATTGATGTTTCTCTCTCTCTCTCTCTCTCTCTCTCTTTCTCCCCTTCCGTTCCACTCTCTCTAAAAATTAATGGAAAAAAATATACTTGGGTGAGGACTAACAAAACAAAAGGAGGAAGAGGAGGAGGAGGAGGAGGAAGAGGAAGAGAGGAGGAAGAGGAGGAAGAAGAGGAGGAGGAGGAAGAGGAGGAGGAGGAGGAGGAGGAAGAGAGGAGGAAGAGGAGGAGAGGGACAGAGGAAGAAAGAGGAGCAGTTGTGACAAACGCACTCAGACCAAGGCTAAGGCCTTGCGTTTGTTGGGAGACAGAGGGGGAAACTCCCCTCTCCCCTTCCTCTTAGTGGGCGGGCACACCGGTGTCTTGGAAGACTGAAAAAAAGCAGTCACTTAATCTGGCTCTGGTGAATTCTCTTTGTTATTCTCCAGGCCACTGGGGAGGCAGGGAAAGGGTAGGGCGGGGAGGAGGGGTGCAGGATGGCCACGTTAGGTAAGTAATAAAGGCCAACGGGAGCCAACCAGGAAGGTTCACCTCATGCCTGGCCCCATCCAGCTCTTGCCCTAACTTTCTGGATCAGCTGTTGGCCCCATTTCACTAATGATCATACTAGGGCTGAGGATGGAAGCAGCATGTCCAAGGTCACCCGGGAAGTGGGAAGCCGGTATCTGACTTCAAGGCCTCTGCTAAAACGCCCAGGATCCTGGGACTGAGGTTCCAAACCCAGCTTGCAGTACGGCCTTGGCCAAGTCACCTAATCTCTCAAGAGATTGCTTAGTTTTCTCTCCCCTTAAGGTGGGGATAATGTCCCCCGGTCTTCTCGGGGTTACTGTGAGAAAACAAGAGGGCTAATGACCACCAACCAGAAGGTGCTCAACTCATACCAGGTGCAAGCTCCTTGGCAAAGGAACCGCCTACTCTCTACTTGTGCTGGGCTCCCAGCTCCTGAGGCATCCATGTGCCCATTGAGGCACAAAGGATCTTCCAGGTCTCTGGGAAGGGACGGACCGACCACTTGGCGCCACCTAGTGGTCCGAGGTGTGTGGTGCTTGGCCAGGTTGCTCTGAGATGGAGGGTTTGAGCACCACCCTTGGCCCTGGGGGGTGGGCAAAACATGCCCGCTCCTCAGCAAGGATGAGGTCATGCCTAGCTGAGCCCTCCCCTGGCCACTCCCCTGAGGAGACATCAAGGTGGGCACTCCACCAGCCCGCCTTCTCCGCCCACGTCTCACTCCCAAGGGGAGGCCAGGTTCTAGTCCCTCTGCCACTGCCTCGCTCCCAGGTCAGGCCACCTCCCCTGCGGAATTGGAGTAAGCATCCCTGCCTCTCAGGGACCCTGGGACTGTGGTGCGTTCTTTCATTTATCAACCATTTTATGAAGTGTCTCCTTTCTAAAGTCAGCATGCTGAGAGCCGTGGGGATACAAGGACTGCTAAGCTGGGTTTCTTGCTACCAAGGGACCCGCCTTATTCTAGGGCACATGTGTCAAACACAAGGCCCGCGGGCCAAATCCGTCCCGCCAGGCCTTGCAATGTGGCCCGCACCGCGCTGTCATCACTGCACTTTGCTGCGTTTCCATCACAATGACAGTTTATGACTGTTCAGTAAACCATTCGGCCAGCGATTTAGGCTGGATTTTAGATTTTGGCCCCTTCTCTGATTGAGTTTGACACCCCTATTCTAGGGGCAGAGGGACTTGTGATAATTGCCCTCAGGGCAGACCTCAGCTGGCCCTGAGGAGGAGAGCATCTGCACAATGAGAGGGGGCTGCTGAGGACGGGACTTGCTGCTGCCCAGGCAGTCCTGTGAGGAAGCCATCTTTAAACAGAGCAAGTCCAGCAGACTGGTGCAACCACTGTGGAGAACAGTGTGGAGTTTCCTCAAAAAAACTGAAAATGGAACTCTCATTTGACCCAGTAATCCCACTCCTAGGAATATATCCCAAGAAACTAGAAACACCGATCAGAAAGGATATATGCACCCCTATGTTCATAGCAGCACAATCTACAATAGCTAGAATTTGGAAACAGCCTAGGTGCCCGTCAGCAGATGATTGGATCAAAAAACTATGGTACATCTACACAATGGAATACTATGCTGCCATAAAAAAAAGGAATTCTCATCATTTGCAGCAACCTGGATGGAATTGGAGAACACCATGAGTGAAATAAGCCAGTCAATGAAAGAGAAACACCACATGACCTCACTCACTTATGGATAATAAAGAACATTATATACTGATGAACCAAAAGATAGATATAGAGACAGTAAAGCAACAAGCAGACAGTCAAATTACAGCAGGGAGGGTAGGGAGATCTGGGGGAGATAAGAGATCAACCGAAGGACTTGCATACATGCATATAAGTACAACCAATGGACACAAAACTCTGGGGAGGGAGGGTATGTAAGGGGGGGGGCAATGTTAAAATATGTACACAGATAATAATTTAATAAAAACTGTAAAAATAAATAAAGAAATAAACAGAGCAAGTCCATATGAAATGAGGGAAAGCTGACACCAGGGCCTGGGTGAGGGGAAAGGGCAGGGAGGCGAGGGGCGCTTTGGCAGTGTGCGTGCGGGACGGGGTCAGAGAGGAGAATCCCAGGAGAGGACCCTCAGGCATCCTCAGCAGCCCAGCAAGGGGATGATGTAAAATTCATCCCAGCAGAGCCCTGGACCAGCTCGGGAGACCAAGCCCAGCCAGCCACACACCTGCCTTCAGGTCCGGACTCCGTGATGGGAGCAAGCGGAAGAGGTCAGGACCTTCCCCCGGGGGCTGTGACAGGCGTCCAGGGGTGGCCGGGGGTCCCCCTGGCCAAAAGCTCCCAGCTCCACGCCTGCCTGTGGTTTCAGCCTCCCTGGTTCCCACTGTTTCCACGCCTGGGTGTCTGGGCCCCTCGTATCGCTCCTTCGAGCTAGCCTTCCGTGCCATTAGCTTCCTTTCCTGCTTCACTTGTCCCGAGTCTGTTTCTCCTGCTTCCGTCCAAGAACCTGCAACCTCCCAGTGCACGGAAGGACACTCAGCCAACTGAGCGACACCAGCCAGGGCAGGGTGTGCCTTCTTAAAGAGCCGAAGAACTCACAGTCCTTACATAATTCAGTTTATTTGTCCTAAATAAATACAGTCTGAGTACGCATACGTGCACCACCCATGGACACAGACAATAGAGTGGTGAAGGCCTGGGGCAGGGGCAGGATAGAGGGGGCTCTGGAGGGTGGGGAGGGGACATATATAATACTTTCAACAATATTTATTAAATAAATAAATGAATAAATACAACCGGAGAACACCCATTTCAATCCTCACTATTTCTTTTCTTCTTTTTCTTTAATATATTTTATTGATTTTTCACAGAGAGGAAGAGAGAGGGATAGAGAGTTAGAAACATCGATGAGAGAGAATCATTGATCAGCTGCCTCTTGCACACCCCCTACTGGGGATGTGCCCACAACCAAGGTACATGCCCTTGACCGGAATCAAACCTGGGACTGTCAGTCTGCAGGCTGACGCTCTATCCACTGAGCCAAACCAGTTTCGCCTCACTCACTATTTCTTTCCCCAGAAAGCAGCTTAAGGCACAGGCGCACAGTTTGCTGTGCGCGTTCCCACTTCAGGCTCAGGAGGGCGCTGGTCCTCTCGGTGCTGGGCTGGGCCTGGCTGTGAGATCACCTCAGGTTCCCTTCTCCGGGCGGGGCCTGTACTCCGCCGGAGTCCCTCAGGACCCACGTGCCTATTCCTGCTCCTGGAACACCTCTCCCCGCTGCTGGCCGAAGGGGGCGGCCCTCCTGACCGGGGTCCCATGGCCAGCCCCTGTTCTCTAACACCAGATACCACCGCAGGCCCATTCCCACCTGGCAAAGAAAGATTCCTCCTGACCCTGGAAGCAGCTCACTCAGGGCAAGGGGAGAAACTGAGGCACAGCTGGCAAATGGCTATCCCTATACCAGTGCCAGGAGGCTGAGAGACCCTCACGAAGGGAGAAGGGGCACTGACCATCCTCCCCTGGTATGTCATGGGGTCCTCGCTCACTCAGGAGCAACGAGGGGGAGACCATCCTCTGTCTTCTCTTTGTGGCTCAAAGGTTTGGATCCACATTCTCTTGGTCTGAGGCTGCTTCCTCATCACAGGGAGACTCCTGGATTGAAACCAGAGAACCAGAGTCATGAACTTCTGCCGTCCCCCAGGGCCACAGCCTGGGGCCCAGCGTCTCCTTCCTCCTGCCCTGTCCACAATGGGGCCAGAGAAGCTCTGCCATCCCTACCCAGGGTCCCATGGCGCACCCCTGGGTGACTCCCTCTTACCAGACGGAGACCACTGTCCCGCCGCAGGCTGGCATAGAAGCGGAGCACACGGGGGTCACAGCGAACCACCATGGGGTCAAAATCCAGCACACGCAGGCCCTGCAGGCTGCGGGCCCGGGAAAGGGCCACGTAGGCCTGGCCGCTGGCAAACACGCGGCCCAAGGAGATCTCCACGCAATCCAGGGTCATGCCCTGGGGATGGAGAGACAGAGATGCAGCCAGCTCTGCCTGGAGGCCTTCGTGCCCAAGAGCCTGACCCACCTCACCAGCCCAGCTACTGCCCCTGGACCTCCCGGCCCAGCCCAGAGGCTCTCAGCAGAGGGACAGGCTGACGGTGGGTGGGTATCTGAGAGGAGGAGCTCCAGGGGATACATCCAGGATCAGAGAGAGGGGTAGGGGTGGAAGGAAAGAACTCAGGCCAGGGTCAGACAGGCATGGAAAGGAATCCGGCTCTGCCTCTCACTAGCTGTATGGCCTTGGACAGGTTACTTAACCGCTCTGAGCCTCGGTTTCCTCCGCTGTAAAACAGGAATGAGCTGAAACCGGTTTGGCTCAGTGGATAAAGCATTGGCCTGTGGACTGAAAGGTCCCAGGTTTGATTCCGGTCAAGGGCATGTACCTTGGCTGTGGGCACGTCACCAGTAGGGGTGTGTTAAGAGGCAGCTGATGGATGATTCTCATCGATGCTTCTAACTCTCTATCCCTCTCTCTTCCTCTCTCTAAAAAAAAATCAATAAAATATTTTTTTAAAAAGGGAATGGTTACGACATCTACACTTCATACCAGTGTTGGAAGTATTACATTTAACATGTCTGGCAGGGCAGGAGATGTCAGAGGGCAAGTATATGGATCCCAGAAAGGAAGAGCATGGGATGGGAAATGCATTGAAGAAAGATTTATCCGCCGAAACCGGTTTGGCTCAGTGGATGGAGCGTTGGCCTGTGGACTGAAGGGTCCCGGGTTCGATTCCGGTCAAGGGCATGTACCTTGGCTGCAGGCACATCACCAGTAGGGGGTGTGCAAGAGGCAGCTGATCGATGATTCTCTCTCATCGATGTTTCTAACTCTCTATCCCTCTCTCCCCCTCTCTCTAAAAAAATAAATAAAATATATTAAAAAAAAAAAAGAAAGAAAGAAAGAAAGAAAGGTTTATCCTACAACTGATCTGGAACTTTGCCTCCAGGGCAAGCTCAACCCCCATAAAGCCTTTAAGGCCCCCTCAACATGGCCCTCGCCTACTTCGTCCCCCCTCTGCCCTCCCCTGGCCCAAGCCCCGCACCGGCTGCTCACCTGGCTCTTGTGGATGGACATGGCCCAGGCCAGCTGGAGGGGCAGCTGCTGCCGGCTGAGGAGCCGGCCCCCGGTGGTCTGCACCGTCCAGCGCTCCGCACGGATGACCTCGGTGACGCCACACAGGAAGTGCACCTGGGGCAGCCCTGAGGGAGGCACGGAGACGTCCGACCTCGCAGCCCCGTTTCGGGGCTCAGAGGTGAGCGGCGGGCCTCACCTTGGCATCCTAGCCTCTTTCTCTTCACACTTACCCTGGGGCCCTGTTACCCCACTCGGTAGCTCTGCACCATCGCTTACCTCTCCCCTCGGTCTCAAAGCCGACTACCACCCCGCGGGCACCGTTCACCAGGCCCCGGGACACCGCCAAGTTCTTCACCAGCATCACCTGCGAGGGAAAGAAGGCACGGAGAGCTGCCCCGATCCTATGCCCGGCCTTGGGCCCAGGGGCCCCTGCTGTGGTTTGGGGAGGCCGGGGGCTGGCAGGGAGGGGCACTGAGTCCTATTTTTAGCTCAGCCACCGGCTGACTGTGTCCCCCTGAGCAAGATGCTTTATTTTCCGGGTCTCGGTTTCCCCTGTGTCAAGGGGACTGACACTGCTCAGGAGCGGGTAAAGAGCAATACGGTAACAGACATCTCAGGGCTTTGAAAACTTGAGGGACAGCCCCCAGCTGCCATCCCTCTTCCAACCACAAGGTGCTGCACTTTCTCCCTGGGTGCCCTTTGGAACCCGAGGGAAGGTTCCCATGTGGCCCACCCCCAATATAATCGGAAGGAAGGAGACTTTCATAGAATACACCAGTGTTTCCCAGACTTCTCTCGTGACGAGAATCACCTGGTGGAGTTGTTAAAATGCAGATTCCTGAATCCCAACTAAGAAGTGCTAAACTAGAATTTTTGGGAACATATAGGTAAAATTGTGTACTTAAAAAAATTCTAGTTTAGCACTTCTTAGTTGGGATTCAGGAATCTGCAGTTTAACAACTCCACCAGGTGATTCTCGTCACGAGAGAAGTCTGGGAAACACTGGTATAGGATACGTTATAGGAGGCAGCTGTGTGGGGTAGATATTTCATTCCCTGATTGAGAGATGAAACACAGCTTCAGCAAGGACAAGGGACTTATCCAAAGCAGCGCTGCCTGGAGCTCCACACGGTGAAACAGGAAGGCAGTGGAGAGCTAGAGACAGGAAGGTGGGTGGGACTCGGAGGAAGGGGAGGAAGGGAGTCGCTGTGGTCCCAGCTGGGGCCAAGGCTGGGGAGGCCCGGGCTCCCAGGGTCTGGGCCCCGCTTCCCACGCACCTGGGCGCCCAGCTTCAGCTGAAGGAGCTTGCCGACGGGACACTGGGCATCCAGAGCCCGGGCTTGCTCAGGGTCACTGTCCATGGCCTCAAAGCTGTGCGCCTCACCTGGGGAAAGAGTGGGGCAAACAGGTTACTAGTCACTTGTGGCTTCGTTTCCAAGAACACCTATCAGACCAGGGCCTGGGGGGAGGTAATAGGGATATCTGGAGCTTTAGAATCAGAGACCTGAATTTAAGACTCACTTCCAGCATTGTTCTGGCTGAGTGACCCTGACCCTTTCAAGGTCATACCTCTCAAAACCAGTTATCTCTGTAACTATAAGGGCCTTATTGTAAGGTGACCAGATGTCCCGATTTAAAAAAAATATATATATTTTATTGATTTTTTACAGAGAGGAAGAGAGGGATAGAGAGCTAGAAACATCAATGAGAGAATCATCGAGCAGAGCTGCCTCTTGCACACCCCCCACTGGGGACGCACCAGAAACCAAGCTACATGCCCTTGAGCGGAATTGAACCCGGGACCTTTCAGTCCACAGGCCAACGCTCTATCCACTGAGCCAAACCGGTTTTGGCTGGACGTCCCGATTTTTAACAATTTGTCCCTCGTCCCACGGTGTTTTAAAAAAGTCCAGATTTTTCTTTCCTAAAATCGGGACTTTTTTAAAACGCCGAGGGACACAAGACAAATTGTTAAAAATCAGGATTGTCTCGCCAAAAGCGGGATGTCTGGTCACCTTACCTTATGGCACAGAGGTTGGGGCCTAGATATTTATCCCAAGGTCCCAGGCTGCCAGGAGATGGGGGCAGGGGGAAAGCTGACATGCCTGCCCGATAGCCCTTCCCCGCTGGTACTGCCCAGCCCTGCTCCCTGCCCACCTGGCAGGTCCCGCAGCCGCTTCTCATTGGTGACAGCCACATCATCCTGGTGGGTGCAGAGCCTGGTGGCCACAATTCCGTCTCGCCCCACCTTGTGGGTGGCCGTAGCCTGGAGCTGGCGGGTCACCTCCTTTGAGCACCTGTGGGGGCTGGGCTGTGAGGGCAGAGCCCATCTGAGTGCCAGGGAAGGGGGGGCATGTGGGTGGTATGGCCCAAGCAGCAGGCAATGGATCAGGCCTGGGGACGGGAACGGCACCCGAGGGCAGGATTTGCTGGCCAGCTTATCCTTTCTTCACTTGGACCCATGCCTGGGGACTGAGCAGAGTGTGTGTGTGGGGGTGTGTGGGGTACTTGGCTGTGATCGCGGGTGGGCACTCTTTCCTTCGGAGGAGAAGCTGGCCTCCCTCCCATCCCCAGTGCCCCTTGGGAAGGGCGGTATGCTGAGTGAGCACAGGCCAGAGGTTTAAGGACCGAGGCCAGGCGCTGATGTTGATGCTGTAATACTGGTGGCCTGCAGTCTGGATGAGTGTTCTGGCCCCTGGCCTTCTGCCTTATGGGAAAACATGGAGCCTGTGTTTCTATTTCTCCCCATCTACAGTCTGGCCCCCGCCCCTCCCCTCTCCGCAGGGAGGCTGGGTACAGCAGCGCCACCATGGGAGGAGGGGGGACAACTTGGGTCCCTCTCTCCCTGCTCTGCCACTCAGCGTTCCTCCTGGCCCTGTGCATGCCGGCTGTGCTGTGCTCCTTCCTTCCCGCCTCCCGTCCCCAGGCAGGAGAGCAGCTCGCCACCGCCACCTTCCCCCAAGTCATCCCACCCTGGCCTGGCTTTCAAGGCCCAGCTCTGGCTCCAGTCATCTGCCCTCCTGGCCTGTCCTCTCCTGTGTTAGAGCAGCTGTAGCATTTCAACCGTTCATCCTAGCTGGGCAGGGATCATGTCTGCAATGTTCCCCGCCCCCAAGGGACCCCACAGGCTTTGAGAGTGGAAGGAAAGCCCTAGCTGGTTTGGCTCAGTGGATAGAGCATCGGCCTGTGGACTAAAGGGTCCTGGGTTCGGTTCCAGTCGGGGGCATGTGTGGACTCAATCCCTGGTGAGAGGCATGCAAGAGGCAGCCAATCGGTGATTCTCTCTCATTATTGATGTTTCTATCTCTGGAATCAATAAAAATATATATTTTTTTAAAAAGTGGAAGGAACTTAGATTTTAAAGTCAGACCTGGGATTAAATTCCAGCCCTGACTTTGGGCAAGTCATTTCACCCCTTAGGACCCCAGCTTTTATTTATTTATTTATTTAACTTATTTATTTATTTTAAATATATATTTTATTGATTTTGTACAGAGAGGAAGGGAGAGAGATAGAGAGCTAGAAACATCGATGAGAGAGAGTCATCGATCAGCTGCCTCTTGCACACCCCCTACTGGGGATATGCCCGTAACCAAGGTACATGCCCTTGACCGGAATCAAACCCGGGGCCCTTCAGTCCTCAAGCCGACGCTCTATCCATTGAGCCAAACCGGTTTCGGCAGGACCCCAGCTTTTAGATCTGTGACTGGGAGTGTGGATATCTCTTAATTCTTCTTGTGTGTCCATCTGACCATAGTCCCCTGACCCCTCCTCTGTGCCAGGCCTCCGGCTGGGTGGTGGGGACCCACCCTGGGGAGGCAGGATCTCAAGATCCACAAAGTGACCGTCTTCTATGGGCCCAGGAAGCCCTTCTCCCTCTTGTTGGGGTCCCCGTGCTCCTCTGAGACCCACACGTGGGCCTCATCCACAGGCCCCTCTCTGCTCACCTGCCCAGTCGCACAGCCTGCAGCAGGGAGACGAAGGTCTGGTCTGCCTGCCTCCACACCTTGGTCAGCTCCAGGGTCACTGAGACACACCTCCTCCAGCTCTTGGCCTGTCGGGGGAAGGGAAGGGGTGTCAGGGAGCAGAGCAGACCCCTGGGGTGGGGTGAGGGTGGGGAGGGCAGGGCAGGAGGGTGAGTGGTACCTGGAAGCAGAACTGCGGGGGCTGGAAGCCCTTGGTGACAGGCGGCAGCTGCAGGAAGTCCCCACAGATGATGAGCTGGATCCCTCCGAACGGCTTATCCTGCTGCCGGACAGTCCTGGAGGGGAGAGGAGATGAGCGAGCGGCGCTTCAGCAGCGAGGGTGGGCAGGCTCCCCACGGACACCACCAGATCCCAGGCTCACCGCCCTCACTGACCTGGCCACGGCCTCCAGCTTGTCAAACAGCTCTGCCTCCACCATGGAGATCTCATCGATGACCAGCCGCTGGCAGTTCAGCCAGCCCTGCCGCACGCCTGGCCGCTGGGCCAGGGCCACACACTGCGCCAGGGGCGCCTGGCCCGAGCCGATGCCTGTGAGTGACATGGTTCAGCTTGGGCCGAGACCCCAGCCCTGCCTCAGCCCCGACTTCCCCTCCTCCCTTCCCACAGGCCCGGCTTGCTCCCGGCGACGGCCCCAGGAGCGCCCGCTCACCCACCTGCAAAGGCGTGGAGGGTGGTCCCCCCGATGTGGCAGGCTGCCACCCCCGTGCTGGCAGTGGTCACCGTGCCCGTGGGAGGCAGTGAGCCCAGGATGCGCTTCAGCAGGTAAGACTTCCCTGTCCCTGGGCAGAGGGCAAAGTCAAGACCACCTCTCCTCCATCCCACCCGCCGCCCTCCCCCCGGCTCCGCCCCTCGTGCCTGCGCTCCCCGTGAAGAAAATGCTCCGGCCTTTCAGGACGGCCCTCAGCACTGCGGCCTGCTCCTCAGAAAGCTGTGGCTTGGCGGGGGCCAAGTTCAGCTTCTTCACAGGCAGGGGCCACCTCGGGGCTTCCTGGGGGGACAGGGTTGTCTCAGAGCCCACCCCCCACCCCACACCTTCTTGGCCCAGGTGCAGGGCTAGGCCTGGAAGCCCTTGTGTCTCCGCTGGCTCCATCCTTGGAGCCCTTGGGCAGCCCTGGTTCGCCTGGAGAGCTTGCCAGTGACCTCTGGGGTCCAGGTCTCCGCGGGAGGAAGGGATTGAGGCTGGGTCTCCGCTGATGCCTGGTGCCCTGGAGACCAAGGCATCCTCCTGGGGTTCCCTGATTCTCCTGGTCCTCTCACCCGTCCTTCTTTCTCACTTCTCACTGCAACAAACCTGTTTCTCACCTCAAAACACCCAAGCTGGACGAACACCTGCCTAGCCTGGTCCCCTTCTCCCCATCTCCACCTCCCCACCCCCTTACTCAAGCCCTGTGGTCTGAGATCAAAAACTGCCAGAACCACCAGACTTTGTCCCTACCCCCATCTGATCGGACTTGTGGGCTCCCCCTTACACTGCTTGGTTTTTTCCAAACGCCCCTCTCCTTCTCTTTATCTTTTGAGGTTTCCTTTCCAGGCTTCCTTCTCTGCATTCTCTTTTTTAATAGGACCTGGGCCACCCTTTTCCTATTTCGGCTTACCCTATGAGACTGCCCTATGAGAAACGCTCGCACAATTCCCGCATCTCGGTTCTACTCAAGACTTCTCCTCTTGAGATAACCAGCAGCCCCCTAAAATACCCCCCCATCACCCCCAAACTTGGATCTCCTTGGTCCCTTCCAACCCAGCGGCACACCCAGCCCCCAAGGCACATACCCCCTTTCCTGTCCTCTCGGTGCTGGGCTCGGCCCCCACCCGCGGCTCCGCCTGCCGCTCCGCCGGCGTCGGGTCCGGGCCCCGGGGCGCCGCCGCGCGCCGCAGCTCCTCGGGCTGCGCCGGGCTGACGGTGAGGAAGTCGCGGGGCCGCGGGCCCAGCAGCTGCGCGCGGGCGGAGGGCGGCGCGGGGCCGGGCGCCGCGGCCAGCTTGAGGCGCAGCAGGCGCAGGAAGCGGCGCAGGCGGTCCGGGGCGCAGTCGGAGAGCAGCAGCTGCACGGCGCCCGCGCGGGGCGGGCCGGCGGCGGGGAGCCGCAGGGCGCTGCGGCCGGAGGCGGCGAAGCGCGTGAAGAGGCGCGCGGCGCGCAGGGGGAAGCAGCGCGGCCGCCCGGCCGGCCCCGGCGCCTGCAGCCGCAGCACCAGCTCGCGCCGCTCGTTGCGGCCCAGACGCAGCTCCGCGGCGCGCACGGCCTGGCGCCTCCGCGGCTGCCCGCCGGGGCTCAGCTCCTCCACCGCCACGCGGCACCGCAGCTCCGCGTCCTCGCACTCCGCCGCCGCCGGGGACCCGCACAGCATCGCCGCCGCCGCTGCAGGTCTGCGAAGGGATCGGAGCTCAGGAACCACCGGGACTCAAGGACGCAACAGGTGGTGTGAGGCCGTGGCGGGGAGCCCGGTCAAGGCCACTTAGCATCCTACCCCCCTCTGGTAACACCAAGAGGTCACAGGGATGGTAAAAGGACCCTGGGGCTGCAATTGAGGACATTCATTTAGGAATGACATCCTACACAATCATTTCCAGAGCGTCAAACGCACTCGGGTTTGGGGAGCCTCGGCTGTCCGGCCAGGGCAGCGGAAGAAGGGGGACCCTGGGCAGGAAAGAAGGCAGCTTCAGCCGAAACCGGTTTGGCTCAGTGGATAGAGCGTCGGCCTGCGGACTGAAGGGTCCCAGGTTCGATTCCAGTCAATGGCATATAACTTGGCTGCGGGCATATCCCCAGTAGGGGTATGTGCAGGAGGCAGCTGATTGATGTTTCTCTTTCATTGATGTTTCTAACTCTCTCTATAACTTCTCCCTTCCTCTCTGTAAGAAATCAATAAAATATATTTAAAAATAAAAAGAAGAAGAAGACAGCTTCAGAGACCGAGGGGCCGAGCGGGGATCGGGTCATCTCCCCAAGGAGCAGGGGACTCTCACGTGGGGAGCTGAGCACAGGCGCTGCAGCTCCTCCCATCAGCTGCTGCCGCGTTCACTGTCCGAGCAGGCGTCACCGCTCCCCGTGGACAAACGTGGGGTCAGGACACGCGCCTGGCAGGAGCCCGGGCTGGTGTGATTCCGAAGCCCTGGCGCTTCCCACGTCCAGGGTGGAAAGGGGTAGGGTATTTGGCTAGGGAAATCGCGGGGTGACCCTGGAATGTGTGTTCCCTCCCTCTGACCCTCTGGTCTGCACCCTCCCGGCAGGGACCCGTTAAAGAAGCAGGGTCTCTTCCTCCCCACGCTGCTCAGATCCGGGGGGGACACTCACTTGCGCCGAAACTCAGACGAACTAGCCGCAACGAGTGGTCCGGCCGGCGAAGCTCGGGCTCCGTAACTTTCAAATGCCAGCGGCGGAGAACCGGCCTATCACCAGCGGCTCTTTAAATCCCCCAGCCAATCAGAGACGGGGGCGTGTCCCTCACCCTCCGCCCCCTTCCCCGGCTCGGGCGGTACCATCCGCACGGGAGGGAGGACGCCTGCTGTGGTGGCGGGTCGTGGAGCGGACCAAGGCGCGTGGACCGGTGGGCGTGGCGGAGATGGCGGGGGTGGGGCGGGGCGGGGCGGGGTGAGGGTGGGGGGGTGCAGTAGCGTCGTTAAGTGGTGTGGTGCCACCCAACGCTGCTCTGAAGATTTATTTTCAGAACCATCCACCCAACACCCCCCCACCCCCGTAGCCCTTACAGAGCGGCTGAACTTGGCGTTGGGGAGAGCTGCCACGGATCCTCCCACCTCTGTTTCGCAGGGTCAATGCTCACTCCTGGGCAGACCACCCCAAGGCCTGCTCCGCCTCTCAACGCTTCCTACTCCTCTTTTCCCTTTTCAGGGTCCTTTTACTCATTGTCTTCCCCACTCAGCTGAGGCCCATCAGTGAGGAACTCTTGAGACCTGGGCGATGAAAGCATGTGAGTTAGTCTCAGGGAATACTTCTTCATCCTCTTGTGGCCCTGGATGCTTGGGAGATTTCTTTCTTTCTTTCTTTCTTTCTTTCTTTCTTTCTTTCTTTCTTTCTTTCTTTCTTTCTTTCTTTAAAAAAATATATTTTATTGATTTTTTTACAGAGAGGAATAGAGAGTTAGAAACATCGATGAGAGAATCATCGATCAGCTGCCTCTTGCACACCCCCCCTCTGGGGATGTGCCCGCAACCAAGGCACATGCCCTTGACCGGAATCGAACCCGGGACCTTTCAGTCCGCAGAACGAGGCTCTACCACTGAGCCAAACCGGTTTCGGCTTGGGGGATTTATTTCTAATCACACCCCTGCCTCTCCTCATTGACGCTTGGAATTACATAGCTGGAAGGGGTCTTACAGGTGAGTGCGGTCTCCTCCCCCCCCCCCCCCCCCATTCATTTTATTGTCCTCATTTTGCAAATAAGGAAACCAAAGCTCCAGGAGGTTTACCAAAGATCACATAGCTCATAGATAGCGGAGACAAAGCCTTGGAACCAAGTCTGACCTGGCCTGAGCACCTGCGTGTTTTACTACTACACCACACTGCTCCCAGGCGATGGGTCTCCATGGGCTCCAGGCCTGGACTAGAGTATCAGTTCCCGACAGCCGCTGCAATGCCCGGCCCCACCATTAGATGTTACCCTAAGCAAGTTCCACAATGTCTCAAGCCTTTGTTTCCACAAACAAAAATGGGAGAAAGATGAAAATGTGATGATTGCACAACTCTGTGACTACTGAAAACCATTTGAATTGTTTACTTTAAATGGGTAAATTATATGGTATGTGAACTATATCTCAAAGCTATTAGGAAAAAATGAGAAATGTTTCCTCTTCCGTGTAGTCTTTTTAAAAATTTATTTAAATAGTTTATTTTTAGAGAGGAAGAGAGAAACATCCATATTGCCTCCTGAATGCCCCCTACTGGGTATCCAGCTGGCAACCTGGACATTGCGCCGCTTGGCCTGGAATCAAACCTGTGACCTCCTGGTGCGTGCTCAACAAACTGAGTCACACCAGCCAGGGCTTCAGTGTAGTGTTGACATAGGAGTAGCATAAAATTTCAAAGTCACTGTAGTAGGCAGAAAAATGTCCCCCCACCATGCCCAGCCTTAATCCCCAGAACCTGTGAATGTGTTACCTTACATGGCAAAAGGGACATTGCAGATGTAATAAATTAAGGATCTTAAAATGGGGATATTATCTTGGATTTCCCGGATAGGCCCAATGGAATCACAAGGGTTCTTACAGGGGAAAGAGGGAGACAGGAGGGTCAGAGGAGATGCAATGCAGGAAGCAGAGGGGGTGGGTGGTGTGTGAAAGAGAGATTTGAAGATGTTACTGTTGGTTTTAAAGACGGGAGAATAGGCCATAAGCCAACCCCAAGAACACAAGAGGTTTCTAGAAGCTGGAAAAGACAAGGAAGTGGGTCCCCCTTACAGTCTCCAGAAGGAAGAATGCAGTACTTGACATTGGCCCAGTAAGACACATTTCAGACTTGCAGAACTACGAGATAATAAATCTGCGTTGTTCTAAGCTACGACATTCATTACAGTAACAATAGCATTAAGAAACAAATAGGTGTTTCAAATAGTAAACATTTTATTGGTTCCCTTAGCAACTCCAGCACAAGTTTTCTCAAAAGGAAGGCAGAATCAAGTTACCCAGAGGTGGGACGCAGTCAGGTCGGAACAAATATAGTTATTCACTAGAAAGTGAAAGATCTAGGATTATGAAAATAGGTCTGTTTCCAAAGGCTGTGTTCTCTTCCCACTAACTTCTACTCCAAGCGGATCTACACACCCACTCACACAGCCTGCTCCTTCCCCCTTACCTTTGTGCAGAACCCACTGCCCCTAGAGAAGCACAGGAACTGTCCCATGGATTTTCTACCAATATTTGTTTTCTTTTGGCTTTCGAACTTTTTTAAATTGTAAAAGATATATAACATAAAATGTACCATATGATCATTTTAAGTTACAATTAATTGCCATTAAGTAACCACCACCACTACATTATTTCCAGAAAATTTTCATTGTTCCAAACAGAAACTTTGTACCCAATTAGACAATAACTTCCCAAATCCTTTCTCCTCTTAGCCCCAACATTTTATTCTGAAAATACTGCAACATACACAGAAAGGTTACAGTGAACACCCATTAAGCTACCACCAAGATTCTACAATTAATATTTTGCTTTATTTGTTGTATCACATGTCTAGCAATTTAGCCATCCCTTTATTTATCAAAACATTTTTGTTACCCATTTCAAAATTGTAGATAACAGCACATTTCACATCTAAATACTTCAACACACACAGCATTAATTAGAGTTTATGTTTATACAAAATGTAATCTTTACATACAGTGAAATGCACACATCTTAGGCTTTTTGTGAGAGGAGTTTTGACAGATGAATATGCCTGTGAGACCCAAACCTTTGTGAGGACATAGAACTGTGTTGTTCAATAGGGAATCCACTAGCCACATGTGTCTAATTTTAAATTTAAAGTAATTAAAATTAGCCCCGTCAGTGTGGCTCAGTGGTTGAGCATCGACCTATGAACGAGGAGGTCACGGTTCCATTCTAGGTCAGGGCACATGCACTGGTTGTGGGCTTGATCCCCAGTGTGGGGTGTACAGGAGACAGCTGATCAATGATTCTCTATCATCATTGGTGTTTCTCTCTCTCTCTCTCCCTCTTCCTTCCTCTCTGAAACCACTAAAAATATATTTTAAAAATAATTAAAATTAAATGAAATTTAAAATGCAGTTTTTATTGGCACTGGCCACACTCCAAGTGCTCCATAGCCACAGGTGGCCAGTGGCTACACTGTTGAACAGCACAGATGCAGGATATTTCCTCCATTGCACAAAGCTCTAAGAACATTACCATCACCTCAAAAGTTCCTTCAGGTTCCTTTGCAGTCAATCCCTACCCTCAGTCCTCAGGCAACCCTGTTCTAATTTTGTTTTCACCATAGATTATTATAGCTTTTTAAAATTTTTTTATTGATTTCAGAGAGGAGGGGAGAGGGAGGGAGAGAGAGAGAGAAACATCAGAGGAAGAGAGAATCATTAATTGGCTTCCTCCTCCACGCCTCACACCAGAGGATGGAGCCTGAAACCCAGGCTTGTGCCCTGACTGGGAATCGAACCATGACCTTCTGGTTCATAGGTCAGTGTTCAACCACTGAGCCATGCCAGCTGGGCTTATTTTAGCTTTTTATAGAACTTATGCATAGAATTATACAATGTTTATTCTCAGACATCTTTCACTGAGCATAATAATTTTGAGATTCATTTATGTTGCAGCGTGGTTCCTTTTTGTTGCTTACTAGTACGCCATTGTGCGGATACACTAGTTTATCCGCTTTCCTGCTGATGGATAATTGTGTTTTCTGTGGATTTGTACTTTCTTTTGCATAAGTACTTAGGTAAGAAATTGCTGGCTCATAGGATAGTGTATATTTAGTTACATATGAAACTGCAAGAGCTTTTTCAAAAGTGGTTATGTGCCCACTCATTTAAATATATAATACTTTTTACTTTTTCACAGAGAGGAAGGGAGAGGGAGAGAGAGTTGGAAATATCAATCAGCTGCCTCCTGCACACACCCCCCCCCCCCCCTATTGGTGATGTGCCCGCAACCAAGGTACATGCCCTTGACCGCAATCGAACCTGGGACCCTTGAATACGCAGGCTCTATCCACTGAGCCAAGCCGGTTATGGCCACTCGTGTTTTTTTCTTTTTTAAGAGCAGCAACAGTAGATCCTTGTAGGGAAAGGAAGCGAATGAATAACTGGATGCCAACTAGCGGCGAATTAACGGTCCTCAGCTCTGTCCTCCTCCCTGCCCTAATGCAGCTGCAGCTGAATCCTGATTGGTCAGCGGAGGAAGGAGGCGGGGGCAGAGGGAAGCCTCACCTCTGGGGCCGGACTTCCTCCCTTGGCCTCGGGCAGTCCTGGTCCGCCTGGTTCTCTGCCCGCTGCCGCCTTGGTGGGTGGGTGAGTGCGGAGTGAAGGTCCCCTTGCTTCACCCGGAACCTGGTTTGGACGCAGACTCTCAGGAGGAACGGGGTTTTCTTCATTATGAAACTTCCTTCTCTAGAACTCTTTCCTTATGTCTTATCTGCCCTCTCTCACCGTTGGTCTCAGTCCAATCCCCAGGTCATTAATAAAAACAACAATGGCATTAACACAGGACTGGGCAGTTTACAAAATGCATTTTCGATGTTATCTCATTTGATACTTAAAAGAGCCCTTCCCCTCCATCTCATGGTCCTTTCTCTCCAAGCTTTTGCCCTCCTGTATTACAAGGACAGGCTATGCTGTAGACCTTCCAGAGCACTGGGCAGCAGACACTTTTTTTTCCTTATAGACATGTTTTTTGTTTGCTGTTGTGTGTATATATATTGATTTCAGAGAGGGAGAGGGAGAGAGAGATAGAAACATCAATGATGAAAGGGAATCATTGATTGGCTGCCTCCTGCACATCCCCTAGTGGGGATCAAGCCTGGGCAAGCCTGGGGATCAAACCCAGGACCCTTCAGTCTGCAGGCAGATGATCTATCCACTGAACCAAACTGACTCCGGCTAGCTTGTGTGTTTTTGAAAACTGATTTTTTGAGAGAAAGGAGGGGAGAGGGAGAGAGAGAAACATCAATTGGTTGTCTCCCGTAGGCATCCCAATGCACACCTACCTGAGCAGGAACAAATCCGAAATCTGTGTATGTGCCCTGACCAGAAATTGAACCAGTGACCTTTTGGTGTACAGGACAAAGTTCCAACTGACTGAGCCACACCAGTCAGGGCTGTGAACACATTGTTATTATTATTTTGTTAATCCTCACTCCAGGGATATTTTTCCCATTGATTTTCTAGAGAGAGTGGAAGGGAAGGGGAGAGACAGAGGGAGAGAAACATCAGTGTGAGAGAAACACATTGATTAGTTGCCTCCTACACACACCTTGACCAGGGCCAGGGATCCAGCCTGCAACTGAGGTATGTGCTCTCGACCAGAATCGAACCCTCAAAACTTCACTCTGTGGGCCAACACTATTCACTGAGCCAAACTAGCCAGGGCTGGGGACACTTATTGAACCTCTGGTACAGTTGATCCTCTTTCCTTAAATCCTCTCTTCTCTTAACTAACCCTACTGAATACAAGTCAGTCACTCCAGCTCCTCCCTCTGGGAACCAGCCCCACCACACACTGTGTACTCCTTCATCAGAGTCTTCTCAGTAACCTCCTACTGGTATATGAGCTCTCCGAGCAGACCTGGATCTTGTGTAGCCTGGACACACAAAGTGCTGCCAAAACAGGTCATTTAGTAAAAAGCACACACTCTGGAGTCAGATGAGGTTTGAATCCTTGCACCACCACTTACCAGGCAAGTGACCTTAAAGAGGTACAAGCTTTGAATTCTTAATCTGTAAAATGAGGTTAACAGTTGTATTTATTTCATGGATGGATATCTACTTGGGTGAGGATTAAATGAGATACATGCGAAGAGTTTAGTACAGTAAGCAGATAAGAGGCTCCCTAAATTCTTTGAATGAATAGATAAAAGCCAGGATGAAGTATTGGAAAGTACTCCAACTTAGAGCACCCAATAAACTTTGTTAAGTGGTGCACATGTAGCCCTCACCAGCTTGGCACAGTACATGGAGCCTGTGGACTGAAGCACACGCCTGGGTTGCAGGCTCGGTCCCCAGCAGAGGATGTGCATGAGGCAGCTGACCAATCAATCAATGATTCTCATCATTGATGTTTCTATCTCTCCCTTTATCTCTGAAATTATATATATATATATATATATATATATATATATATATACACACACATACATATATACACATATATATGATGCACATGCAAAGCAGGCTCCATCACTTTCATAGTTCAAAATTTTCAATGACTTCACATTCCCTGATGTTAAAATGTAGTCTTTTCAACACAGCCTTCAATGCCCTCTCTATACTGAGCTTTGTCTTTCTTCAGCCTGGCCCCCGTAACACACACACACACACACACACACACACACACACATTATTTCAAACCTTCATGCCATTGCTCACTGTCCCCTCTGCCTAGAATACCTATTCTGGTTGGGTGTCCTTCCTCTCCTCATTCACCCTCACATCTAACAGTTTTCTTATCTGTTTACACGCCTTTCTCTCCTGATGGTCTTGCCATTATCTTCCTGCTATTAGTGTAGGGCCTGGCAAGCAATCAAGGCAAATAGGGTATCTGTGTCGAATGAATGCATGTCGTGTGGAGGCAACAACCAGAGGGCCAGCCTGGGCTGGGTGAGGCTTGGTGGTTATCAGAGTCTCATTCCTCACAGTGGCAGAGCTGGCTGGATATCAAAACCTACCTCACCCACCTCCACCATGAGCTGCTACTGAGCAACAACGTGAATCCCCCGGGGTATCAGTTCTCCTAAAGATGGAATCTGAGTTTCTTGATACAGATCTTCTGAGTCCTCGGGCATGGGATGCAACGGGCGGCACAACTCTACAGATTGAGGAAATAAAACCTCAGGCGTGGGCTGCAAAAGGTTGTCACACACACGGATTTTCTCAGATCTCTGGGCTGGGTTTTCTTTATCCCTTTAGATAAAGACACCCAGGCCTGAGGGAAAAGTGTGCCTCCATCTTGGCCTTTGGCCCTAGGTCCCCCAGCTGCCCCTTTCCATGTAGGACTGGAAATGCTTGGAAGCCTGAGGGCCAGCAGAAGGCAGTGAAAGGAGAGCTCAGTCAACTGGTGCAGTTGCTGCTGTGGCAGCCAGAGCCAAAGGAGGTCACCATTGATCCCACAGGCACTTAATTCTTCGTGCTGAGACACGGGGGCAACTGAGAGCTAAGGGGAAGAGGCGGGGTGGAGTGGGGGGAGGGGAGGCGGTGCTGGAGGATGGGATGTAGCCACTTTCTCTCTCTGAGTCTCTGTTTCTCTAAGTGCAGAATGAAGGTGCACGGTGTAACTAACACCATTCTCTGCTGGTCCCTACATTTCACTCTCTAGCGAGGTTGTCAAGGATGCAAGATTACCGCTGAATGGGGGTGGGAGATGGGGGTGGCCCTCAGATATTGGAACCAGAGGAGGGTACAGTTCGGAGCATGCCCAACTGGAGAACAGGCATCCAAGGGGGAACCCTCCCCCAAAGGGACTCCGGAGCCCAGCCCCAGCCCCAGCCCCAGGTCTTCCGGTTATATTACTCCCCGGATGGGACTCAAGTTCCAGGCCCTGACCTGCCTGGAGGTTCCAGGGAGAAGAGAACCAGGTCGTCGCCACTGCCCTGGCGTCAGGGAGGAAAAAAGAGGCGCCTCTCGGTGGCCTCACCTCCGGGCCGCCCGGGGCGCTCGGCCACCCCAGCCACTCGGGTCCGGAGACCTCAAAGCGCAAACTGCCGGTGCCTCCGCAGCTCCTTGCCGGGTCCTGCCCCACCCGGCCCCGCCCTCGGGCCCCGCCCGCTCCCGCTCCGCCCCCTCCAGCCGGAAACCCCCCTTCTCCTCCTCCGGGTCCCCCGCACACTGCACACCCACCAGCCCCTCTCCCTCCGCGGGTCCGCGAAGCCTCTCCCCGCCCCGGCCCGCCCGCTTCCTCCCGCTCGGGTTCCCGGTCCCCAGGCCCCGCCCACTCCGCCCAGGCCCCGCCCTCCACCCAGGCCCCACCCACCTCCCCGCCCGCCGCGCCGGCCCCAACCCGGGCCCCGGGCCTGCTATCCCCAGCCGAGGCCCCGCCCCCGGCCCCGGAAGCCCCTCCCCGCCCCGGCCCCGCCCCCCCGAAGTTTCTTGGGCCCCGGGCGGCCGGCGGGACAGAGCGCTGCGAGCAGCCGCCCGGCCGCCGCGGATGGAGCTGCGGGGGCGCGCGCGGCGCGGGGAGTGAGCGCACCGCGGCCGATCGGCGGACCCAGCGGACTCGCCATGGAGGAGGAGGTGAGGGCCGGCCCGGCGGGGCCTGGGCCGGGGTCCCGAGCCGCTCACGGCGGTTGGGGTCCCGGGCTCAGGCCCTGCTCCAGCCCCGCTCCCGCGGACGCCGGCGCTGCTCCCCACCCCCAGCGGGCAGAGCCGGGCAGGGGCGGCGGGCGGGGTCGTGTCCGGCGCTGCGACGACCCACCCTCCTTTGCTGTCTCTTTGGCTTCGTTCACCACCTGGGGGCATGTTATTGTTCCCATTGGACTGACGGGGAGACTGAGGCTCTGCTGAAGCGGCCTGGGGTGCTGGCCACCGCTGACTCTCCTTGCCGGCCAGGTCGGATCTCAAGGGGGCACGGGGCAGGCTGCGTGTATTGGGGTGTTGTGTGTGTGTGTGTGGGTTGGGGAGGGCTGTGGGTCCTGGAGCTCCTCTCTGAGGGAATCTCGAGGCTGTGATCTTCCCTGGTGGCCCCATGGCTGGAGAAGTTGCTTTTTTCTCCCCGTGTGTCCCCTTTACCCTACCCTCTCACCTACCCCAGAGTTGGCTCAATAGGGGCTGATCCTAGCCCCTGCCTTCCCCCACACCCCTGGGGGCTAGTTCCCGGAAGGAGCTGGGCAGCGGGCCCAGCAGTGCCCCTGTGAGCCTCTCTCTCCCGCCTCAGGACCCTCTTGGTCTGGGGAGGGGTCAAGCACAATGTGACTCCGGCCCTTTACTTGCAAACACTGTTCTCCTAACAGCCCCATCACCCAAACACACTGCAAGCATTTAATGTGTGCTTGTGGAGTGAATGCATTAGAGGAGGGGCCGGCTGAGTCTGGAGGATTTGCTTCTTGTCGTCTGGGCGTGTGTGTGTGTGTGTGTGTGTGTGTGTGTGTGTGTGTGAGAGAGAGAGAGAGAGAGAGAGAGAGAGAGAGAGAGAGAGAGAGAGCGAGCGAGCACGAGCGCTTCTGACCCTTTCAGCCCAGGGGAAGGGTGTATGTCTGTGCCTGGGCGGGTGGGGAGCCCTGCCTGGTCCCCTTCCGTGCCCATTTCCTTTCTGCCCCTGCGCAGGGGCAGCTGGGGTGTCAGGGTTCCCTCCAGGCCAGGCCCGTGGTTCCTATGGGGGGTAGATAAGTCACTTCCCCTCTCAGCTTGTGTTTCCTCTTCTATAAAATATTGGGCCTGAGGCCTCCTCCCCAGACCCAGGCCGTGTGCCTGTGGCCCCTTCTGTCAGAGTGGGGGGAAGTAGGGGCCAGGCCACTCCACTGTGATTTGCTTTGGCTTCTTGCTTGCAGAGGCAGGGCTGCCCTACCCGGCCCCAGGCCCTGGGGCCCCCTGCTGCGAAGGCGGGGGGGGGGGGCGGGGGGGGTTGTCTGGCTGGGCCCCACCTCTTCTCCCAGAGGATGTGAGACAGGATTACTCCGTCTTCTGATCTGCTCTGGCCCCCAATGAAGGGAAGTTATCTCGGGGCCTCCTGGGCCACGGTTTGTCTCCCACTGGCTCTGAGTTTCTAACGCTGCCACTTACTGACGGCACCAAAAGCTCCCCAAACAGCTGGGTTAACTGAGGTCTTGCTTACCTCTCCCCCACACAGCCAGGGGCTCCCCTACTTCCCCTTTGGCATCCCTAGTTCTTTTCTTCCCGTTTCTTCTCCTCGGCACTTACTCTTATCTCCTGAGGCCCCAGTGTCCCACCTTTGTTTCTCTAAAGCCCCTCTTAGACCATAGTCACCCCTGCCCTTCATGACCCCTGGCTGGCCTCCTCGTCTCACTCGCACATGGCTGCTTTCAGCTCCTTCCCAGCTCTGAGCTTCCTCCCCCCGTCACAGCCACCCGCGTGCCAAGGCCCCTCAACCTCAGTGACCTGCTCCGTCAGGCTGAGGCTTGGTGAAGTGCAGGTCTGGGCACTGGGCATCAGTCCACTTGTGCTCCCATGGCCTCACTTCCCCCTCTATAAAATGAGAGCGGTGGGAGATGCAGAAATGCCGTGATACGTGCAGAAGCTTTGAAAGTTGCAGATATCAATGTGAGGGGTTCCTGACCCTGGTGTAAGGCTGCAAACCCTGGACTGCGGCTTTCCCGCTCTGCCCTGGGGTTCTACCCTTGTCCTCTAAGTCATGCCTTTTTCTGGCTTGGCCTCCAGGCTGTTCATCAGTTGCCCTTTCCCGTCTAGAGAGAGGCAGGGCAGTGTGCAGTCCCAGGACTGGTTTTGTTACCTCGAGCTAACCTCTGACCCTTTCTAGGCTGTACTTTCTCATCCTGTAGTGAAGGAGCTGAGACTGTAGGGCCTTTGATACCCTTGGTATCTTTCCTTCTCTGGGCCAAGGGGTGTCTCCTTCCCTCTCCTCCACAGGCCTGTCAAAACCCTGCCTTCTGCAAGGGCTTCCTACACTGACCTCAAGCCCTTCCTTGTCCCATTAGTGAGCTAGGGCTGAGGCATCCCTCCAGTGGGTGCTCTGTCCCTCCCAACAGGCCCTCAAGCAGGGTCTGTGCTGCCCCCGTCAGACTGGAACTTCCTCTCAGGGAGCTGGCCTGGTGGGTTCTTAGCAGAGTTTAATCAGAGCATCGCTGGGTTTAGTCAAAGAGCAAAGATCATCATCGTAAGTTCCCAGTGATGTGAGGTGTCAACGCGTTTTCTGCTGGTCTCCGTCCCTCTGTTTTGGCTATTGTTGTGGCTTTCCACCCGCTTCCCTCCTGTGCACAGGGTCAGGGTGACCTGGCATCTTTTTCTTTTGAATGAATGACACAGAGACCTTCCCACCTCAGGCAAAGGGGAGCCAGGCTGGTGCTCGGGGTGCCCCAGAAGCTGCCCACTGTGGGCAGGGGAGGACCTGAGTGAGGATCGATGGGAGAGGAAAGAGCGAAACAGGAAGCACAGTGGTCAGCTGGTCGACAAGAGGAGAGGAGGCTGAGAAACTGGGCTGAGCAAGATAAAACCTCCCTGTGAGCCCTGCCAAGGGGAGGGGCTGCTTATGAAAACTTACTGGCGCGTAGCCAGGCCCCTGGTGGGGGAATGAATGTCTGAGGGGCAGGGAGAGGAGTTGGGGAGGGTGGCAGGCAAGCGGGTCTCCCTTGGGGAAGCTGTTGGTGTGGGGGTGGCTGATTCCTGGTAAGGAGACCCTTCCCTGGGCTTCGGTTCATGCCTCCAGCCCCTCACTTGTCACTCCCCTCAATCCCAAAGTGCCTTCTTGCCTCCTCCTGACCGCACCCATCCCTTAGGCCCTGGACTGGCTTCTCTACTTAATCCAGCCATGGTGTTCCCTGGGCACTGCTCTGCTACACCCAGCGGGGACTGTGGTCAAGGCACACGTTTCTAGCTTTGCACCTGGGAGCTCCCAGCTGGCAGGAAGTTTTCACAATGTCAGTAGATGAGGCAGGCAGGGGAGGTCACAGTGGAGGGGCTTTAAAAGGGGCAGTGTGGGCCCTGAGAAGCAGGAGGGGAGCTGGGAGCTTAGGGGTGGGACATCCAGGCAGCACCTTCATATCCCACTGTCCCTGCTGCCTGGTGTGAGAGGCCTGTATCCCGCAGGCCTAGGCAGGAGCTAACAATGCTGATTGACATGTGGGGGTGGGATTTCCTGTTTCCCACTTCATCCCTTCCAGCCCTGGGGGGGTGAGGCCCCTAAGGGTCACACAGCCCATGGGGCTGAACATGGGGTCTCCGAAGGGCGGGAGGGGGAGTTGGGTGGGTGATAGGATACAAGAACCTCTCTCATCTTGTCAAGGGCCCTGAAGTCCTTTCTCCGGTCAGGGTGGCTCATACTGGCCTGCAGGCAAGCCTTCCACTTCCTCATTTGTCCATCCGGGAGAACGTTTGGGACCATGCAGCTTCCCCATTTTTCTCATCCTCCAGACGTTAGGGAGGGACCTGAGGTGTGCTCACATTCCAAGGAGCGCCAGGGCCCTTCGAGGCCAGTCGCTAAGCCCAGAAAGGGCCTTGCTCTCGATTTCTGAACCGGCCCAGGAGCGGTCCTGAGAGGCAGAGGGAGTGGCAGTGACAACAATAACAATAACAGCAACTGCCATTTCCTACCTGGGTCGCCCAGGCACTGCTTTGTGTGCCGCGTCTTAATCCGGCAAACACTGACTGAGCCCGACTGTGTCCCCGGCGTTGTCTAGGCATGAGGACAGGGCAGTAAACAAAACAAGATCACTGTCCTCGTGGAGTGATCATTGCCGTTTTGTTTCTTTTCTTTTCTTTTTTAAAAAAATATATATTTTATTGATTTTTTACAGAGAGGGAGGGAGAGAGATAGAGAGCTAGAAACGTCGATGAGAGAAACATAGACCAGCTGCCTCTTGCACACCCCCGACCCCCGTCCAGGGATGTGGCTGCAACCAATGTATATGCCCTTGACCAGAATCGAACCCGGGATCTTTCGGTCCGCAGACCGACGCTCTACCGCTGAGCCAAACCGGTTTCGGCAGATCATTGCCATTTCTATAGTCATGCCTATCTCCATGTCACAGCTAAATCTGGGAGACCAAGTGACTTGCCTCTGGTCTGTGTGACTTGGGCTTCAATGCTCAGATCCCTAGCTGTCGTTCAGAGGGCTGGGTGCAGCTCAGTGAGAACCAGGTTAGGGCTCCCCTGCCATGATGGAAAGCAGGGAGGCTGTGCCCTCCCCGGCCCCTGGCAACTCACCACACGTCCATCTGCCTGGGCTTGTCCTTCCAAAGGCAGCTGTGGCCACAGGGCATCCCCTGGGGAGAAGCTGCTTTTAACTGAGGCCACTTTTTTGAGCTTTATGTAAATTACAGAGTAGCCAAAAATTAGTGCTAATTTCCTTCTAGCACCCTCTAGATTCTGACACTGCTCTTGATCCCTTCCCTCCCACCTTCCCCTTCACACTCACTACTGTGCATACCAGTCACTGAAGCAAAGTGGTTAGCAAGTTGCATGTATTTTTATTTTCATTTCACAGATATTTCTCGAGCACCCGTTACGTGTAAAGGAACAGTGCTGGGTGCTGGGGACCAGAGGTGAATCTGACCCACCTGGTAGGAGGTGACCCCCCCATACATACACCTGGCACCCAGCTAATCAAGCAGGTGGTGGAGGGGCACAAGATGTCAGTGGCTGGCCTGGAGGCCCCAGGGTGGCTGCCATGTCTTAGAGAAGGACGCTGGTCCAAGGCAAATCCCTCGGAGCCTCACCAGATGGGGTGGCCGCCCCCAAGTCCTGGGCTCAGGTGGGGAGGAGCGCAGAGGAGCCTCCTGTTTGGGGGCAGAAGCAGGAGGTTCCAAGGGTTTACTAGGTGAAAGGCAGGGGCAGGAGGCAGCTTACCACCCTGCCTGCTTCCCTCCTCTCATCCTTCTCATTCTGCTCGCATGTCCTCTCCTCCGTGGGGCCTGCACTGTCCTCTCTCACTTGCCAACCCCTTCACTCTTTCCTTCGTAGCATTTCACACTGGATGTGTTTATGTCTAGTGTTCATTTGTCCCGCTCCTCCTTTCCTAAGTTGCCAGCTCTCTGAGGACAGAGGTCCATCATTTGTATTCCTCTCTGCCTGCCCCAGCATCCGTGGCACTGCCGGTGCTCAGGACAGCATTTGTTGGCTGGTTGAATGAACACACAGGAGGTGGAATTGTGAACTCTGGCTCTGTCCTTCCAGCTGTGTGACTCTGGCAAGTTATCCTTCTGAGTTTGCTGTGACATGTAGGTAATGGTGCCACCGCCTTGGAGGGTAGGTGTATGGACTGGCTGAGACAATGTGTGAAAATAGTGGCTCAGCCGAAACCGGTTTGGCTCAGTGGGTAGTGCATTGGCCTGCGAACTGAAAGGTCCCAGGTTCAATTCCAGTCAAGGGCATGTACCTTGGTTGCGGGCACATCCCCAGTAGGGGGTGTGCAAGAGGCAGCTGATTGATGATTCTCACTAATGTTTCTAACTATCCCTCTCTCTTCCTCTCTGTAAAAAATCAATAAAATATATTAAAAAAAGAAAAGAAAATGGTGGCTCAGTACAAGGGGCTGCTGCTAATATTGCTGCTGCTGCTGTTATTACTGTTATTTCTAAGGCTGGGTTAAGAATATTTGCCTGGCGCCAAAACCAGTTTGGCTCAGTGGCTGGAGCGTCAGCCTGTGGACTGAACGGTCCCAGGTTCGATTCCGGTCAAGGGCATGTACCTTGGTTGTGGGCACATCTCCAGTAGGGGGTGTGCAAGAGGCAGCTGATCGATGTTTCTCTCTCATCGATGTTTCTAACTCTCTACCCCTCTTCCTCTGTGTGAAAATCAATCAAATGTATTTTTTTTAAAAAGAAAGAATATTTGCCTGGAGGTTGTGGCGAAGCCCACATGGAGGATATTAGGAGGCTCCCAGCAGAGGGACGTGTTGCTAGTTTGGCCTGTGGACTGTGTGCCCCCCTGTGGCAACCCTCATGGTACGTCTGTCTCTGTCTTCCAGGGGGTGAAGGAGGGGGGTGAGAAGCCCCAGCGAGCGCGGACGGCGGACAAGGCGGGCTGGATCAAGAAGAGCAGCGGGGGCTTCTTAGGGCTCTGGAAAGACCGCTACCTGCTCCTCTGCCAGGCCCAGCTGCTGGTCTACGAGAATGAGGTGAGCACGGGCTGAGGCGGGTGCTGAGGCGGGGACAGGGCGGCGGGGGAACCCAGAGCCGGGGCCGGAGGATCTGTTCCGTTTTTGCCGTGCTGTGCCGCCCTGGACGAGAACCTGACCTTCAGGTCTCTGCAGCATGGACGGGAGCTCCAGGTGCTCGTCCAGGGCTCCTGGCTGAGGGGCTGTTGGAAGTGTGTGTGCGTAAGGGTGAGTGTGTCTTCTCAAACCCACAGCCCACCCCCTGGCCCTGGGGCAGGTTCCACATTTGTGAATGTTCCAGAAACTGAAGCTTGCTCCATTTGTCAATGATAATGGAAATAATACTAATCGCTCGTGCGTGTTTATAGCTCTTGTATGAGACTCGACAGTCCCAGGAGTGCAGTCATCATGTCATCGTCTACAATAGGGGTGTCGAACTCAATCAGAGAAGGGGCCAAAATCTAAAATCCAGCCTAAATCGCGGGCCGAATGGTTTACTGAACAGTCATAAACTGTCATTGTGATGGAAACGCAGCGGAGTGCAGTGATGACAGCGCGGTGCGGGCCACATTGCAAGGCCTGGCGGGACGGATTTGGCCCGCGGGCCTTATGTTTGACACACGTGGTCTACAAGATGGATCCTGAGGCTGAGGGCGGCCAAAGGACTGCTCAGCATCTCAGGGAGGGAGGAGCCAGGTCTAGAACCCGATCCAGTGCTCTTTCCACTCACTGATGCCGGCAATTGCACGCTACAACCTGTTTTGGGTGGACGGTCTTTATTTGGGTGAATACTCTCTGTCTTCTTGAGAAGAAGGCACCAGCCTACATCGAGTCTGTCCTTGTGGCTCCGAGTCACTTATAATCAGACTGTACTTCTCGTCTTTTCTTTCCCCTTCAACGTGGAGCTACCAGTTGCTGCTTCGCCACTTCTGCCGTCTGGTGCCTCGCACAGCCCTCACGTTTCCCACCGCAGGCTCGGCCCCGCCTCATTCCAGCAGGCTTGGAACCTGGACCCCAGGATGCTAACCCTGGTGTTCAGAGTTGAAAAACCTCTTGGTGACAACCGGAGGAGGAAAGGTCTTACACTTACGACGTGTGTGCCCTGGGTTGGGGTATAGAGGGCCCATCCACAGAGAAGGGGCTGTCGCTGTGTGCCTCCCACAGTGGAATACAGGGGAGATCCTGCCTGTTCCTCCTCAGCCTCTCTCCGCGTGCCCCGGGGTACCTTGGCACATTCATAATCGTCCGGGCCAAGAAAGATGGGGCGCCCCGGCCTCCGTGATGAAAGGAGCTGCCCTTGAGGAGCACGTTGCCTGTCTTTCCCGAGGCCCAGCTCATGGAGTTGGGGTGTCAGAGAAGCAGCTGGACGAGTCATTCAGACAGCCCCCCAGGTGTTCTGTACGCTGCTCTCGGCAAACGAGGAGGCGCTGTGGTGGCAGCAAGGGGATGTTTTTATAAATAAAGGGTGTTGTCAAAGCTTCCTCCAGTCCCAGCTGCCTTGGAGCTGAGTGACAGGTCCCCAGCTGCCAGCCTGCCAGGCACTGCCAGACTTGTCCTGGGCTGCCCCTCCACATCTGGCCACAGCTGGGGAGCAGGAAGGATCTTGCATCCCCTAAACTTGAAAAACCTAAATCACCCTTTTAAAATAATCACTGTTAAAAACCTCAGCGAAGCGCCAGGAACTTAGCCCTCTCAGGGTGGGGTGCTTGGCCCAGGAGTAGGAATTGAGAAATGCTTATTAGTTCAATTCCTCTTTCTTGATGTAAGGAACTAGGCGAATGAGAATGGCTCTTGGCTGTCTCTTGGCCGTCAGTGAGGCTGACGTTCCAAAAACGCTGCCCCCGCCCAGCGCCTGCTGGGTTATCCGTGTCTCTCAGCTGCACAAGGGCTGGATGATTCAGCGATTCGGGAAAGAGGAGGCCCGGGTCAGACAGCCGTGAGGGGCTGGGCGTGGCGATGAAGCACCTTTGTTTTGGGGCCAGCAGTGGCCCGGCTGGGGAAGGCGTGTGCACATGGGGCAGGTGACCGGCACCTTCTGCAACTGGGGGTCCTTTTGCAGGCAGCCCCCTTCCTCTGGGGTCTCACTGAGTCAGGCGTTCAGTCCGGCAGATGGTCCTCTGAGCTGCTCCTTGGTGGGGCATTAGGGGGAACAGAAAGGAGAGCAGACATAAGCAGCACAGGGGAGAGAGCGATGGCCCGGCAGGAAGCTAGGCTGCTCTTCCCCCAGCAGAGGGTCCCGAGCATCTAGTTGGGTGCCTGCCCCGAGCAGGTGCTTTGTGGTTGGGGGACCTCAAAGGAGCGAGGTGGCACCAAGGCTTGGGCTCCTGGGGTGAGCAGTGAGCGTCCCGGACCCGGCGGATTGTGCTGTCCCCGTGTTGAGTGGAGAAATGTGAGAGGGATTAAAGACTAGGGGTTGGAAAGAGATGTGCAGAGGCAAAAATGGGAAAGACACCCGATTGTACCTGGATGGGGAAAATCAAGCTGCCTGGCCATATGGTCCCCTTTCCTCAGGGCTGAAGGGAGGGTACACCAGTGGTTATCCACTTTAGCTGTACAGTCATCTGCTCATGTCTGGGCTCCACCCACCAGGGACCCTGATGTAAATGATCTGGGATGTTGCCTGGGCTTTGGGATTTTTATTTATTTTTTAATCCTTACCCAAGGATATGTTCCCATTGATTTGAGAGAGAGAAATTATTGATGTGAGAGAGAAACATCATTTGGTTGCCTCTTGTACATGCCCTGATTGGGGATCAAACCCACAACCCAGGCATGTGCCCTAACTGGTGACTCTCAAACATGTGACCTTTTCTGGTGCATAGGATGATGCTTTAATCAACTGAACCACATGGCCAGGGCTGGAGATTGGGATTTGAAGGAAAAAAAAATTTTTTTTTTAAATTAATTTCAGAGAGGAAGGGAGGGAGAGAGGGAAATAGAAACATCAGTGATGAGAATCATTCATCCGCTGCCTCCTGTGTGACCCATAATGGGGATCGAGCCTGCAACCTGGGCATGCGCCCTGACCAGAAATGGAATTATGACCTTCTGGTGCATAGGTCAATGCTCAACCACTGAGCCACGCCAGGCAGGTGGCACGGGTTTTTAAAGGTCCCAGGGCCACTGAGGTTGAGAAACAGAGTTTCTCAAACTTTTGTACACATTAGAATCAGCTGGAGGACTGTTAAAACTCAGATTTCCCCTAAGATGATGATTCATTAGGAACGGAGCCAGAGAATCTGCATTTCTCACACGTTCTCAGGTTATGCTGCTGCTGCTGGACCAGCTACCACACGTGGAGGACCCCTGGTGCAGCCCAGGCACTGCCCCTCCGCCTCTGCCCCCGGCAGGGAGGAGCGCTGTGCTGGGAAGGGCTCTGGCCTGGAGTCAGAGGGCGTGGGGTTGAGTTTGGCTCTGGCCCCTTATGCTTGGGTCTGAGCTCCTAGGGCAGATCAGTTCACCTCCACACATTTGGGGGGAAAAGTTACGTTCTCTTCCTCTACAAAGTGAGGCAGGGGGTTGGTTTCACGACCTTCGTGGCTACCAAAATCCATGGGTGCTCAAGTCCTTGATATGCATGGAATAGTATTTGCATGTAACCTACACATGTCCTTTCGTATACTTTACATGATCTCTAGCTACTTATACTATCCAGTACAATGTCAGTACTATGTAATCAGTTGTTTAGGGCATAATGGCAATAAAGAAATGTCTGTACATGTTCATCAAGAAACAACCATGGCCGGGTTCGGCCTGCGGACTGAAAGGTCCCGGGTTCGATTCCGGTCAAGGGCATGTACATTGGTTGCGGGCACATCCCCAGTGGCGGGTGTGCAAGAGGCAGCTGGTCGATGTTTCTCTCTCATCGATGTTTCTAACTCTCTGTCCCTCTCAATTCCTCTCTGTGTAAAATCGATAAAATATATATTAAAAAAAAGAAGAAAAGCAACCGTGGTAGGCCTAACTACATAGCACATGTTGGCAACAACGTAACTTTTCCCCTCAAATGTTTCCGATTCGAGGTGGGTGGAATCTGTGGATGTGGGGCCCTTGGAAACAGTATAGGCGGATTCATGGAGGGAAATGAGGGCATTTCCTCTGTGTTTCCCAGATATTCCACCCAAACCTGGGAGCACCGAGAGGTCCTGGGGGGGGTGCTCAAACAGCAGCTCCACGTGGCCAGTTGGTAGGCCTGTGCCTCCCCGACCCCTGCTGACCCAGGCCTGTTTCTGTTTCCCTGGAGTCTCCGGGGAGAGACTGTGCCACATCAGGAAGTTGTTCCCGCTAAGTCTTCCGGAAGAGCCACCAATTGATCACCATTGAGGGAGGGGCTTGTCCCAGGCAGCGTGCTGAGAGGCACCTGGTGGAGAAAGCACTCAGGTGCCGGCCTGGTGGGGAAGAAGGGAGTCTAGCCCGGGTCCAGGAGTGGCCTAGAAGAGGCTGGCCACTGTCCTGGCCACTGGACTTCTGTTGACGGGGCCTCAGGATGACAGCCTAGGGGTGGGGTGCTCTTAAAGGAACCATTGTGCTCTCCATTGCCCCCGAGCCAAGGTCAGCGGAGGAAGATGCTGGTAGAGAACCAGCTCAGGGTCACTGTGGTGAAGGCAGGGATGTCGCCCCAAGCATGCTTGTTCACACTTCCCTCTGTGGCTCTGCCTGGAAAGCCTTTTTCTTTCTTTTTTATTTATTTTAAAATATCTTTTGTTTAAAATATTACATATATTAGTACATATGTCTCCCTTTCCCCGCCATTGACCTTCACCCAGCCTCCCTTACGCCCTGTCGCGTGCCCTTATTCCACCCCCCTCCCCAGTGTCTTGTGTCCATTGGTGTGCTTATATGCATGCATACAAGTCCTTCCGTTGATCTGTTTTCCCCCTCCCCAACAATCCCCAGCCTTCCGCTGTAATTTGACAGTCTGTTTGGTGCTTTGCTGCCTTTGTGTCTACCTTTTTATTCATCAGGTTATAAGGTTCTTTATTTTCCATAAATGAGATCATGTGGTATTTTTCTTTCACTGCCTGGCTTATTTTACTTAACATAATGCTCTCCTTCTATCCACGCTGCTGCAAATGGTAAGGATTCCTTATTTTTTATAGCAGTGAAGTATTCCATTGTGTAGATGAACCATAGTTTGTGATCCAGTCATCTGTTGATGGGCACTTAGGCTGTTCCTAAGTCTTAGCTATGGTGAATTGTGCTGTTATGAACATAGGGGTGCATATATCCTTTCTGATGGGTGTTTCTAGTTTCTTGGGCTATCCTTTTTCTTTTTTCATTTTGTGACAACTTGCTCCCTCTTCCAGGCTACCTTTTCCGCACATCTCTGTCTGGCCTCTGGGCCTGCAAGGACCCCAGGCACCCTTTCTGAGCCTCTTGAGCTTCAGGTTTCCTCATACTCCTTAGGAACATTTGCATCAGCTCTGCTCCCCATCTCCGGATGGTGAGCCCCATCTCTCACGTGCATTGTGAGCCTTGAGCGTGTCCCTCCAGCCTGAATGCTGGATTCACAGACTGAATGCCAGGGACTGAATAGCTCATTTTGGTGATTGATTGGCAGGCTGGGGTCCCCCTCTGACCAAGTAATGTCCTCATTGGTTGGGACCAGGGTCTGAGGCGGGGCCTGGGTGTCTGAGGGTCTGGCTGTGTCCTGTTCTCACCACTTCATGTCCCCTCTGTCCCCCCACAGGACGAGCAGAAGTGTGTGGAGACAGTGGAGCTGGGCAGCTATGAGAAGTGCCAGGACCTTCGTGCCGTCCTCAAGCGGAAACACCGATTTATCCTGCTGCGATCCCCAGGGAACAAGGTAGGGCTGAGCCTGCTGGGCTGGACCCTCCTCCGGGCTGGGGTCCGCTTGGGAAGGCCCTCCCTGGAGGCTCTCTAAGATGGGCTGGGCCCCGGATGCAGCCGTGCATTCGCTGTGGAGTGTGCCTGAGGCTCACGTCCGGGGCTGCCCCAGGTGGGACCGTTGCCTGTTTGGTCCTGGAGTCTCCCCGCCCCGGGTGATAGGAGATGCGTGTAGAGCTCTGCTGAGCGCTCTGCTCCCCTCTCCCTCCCAGGCTCCGGGGCCTCCTCCCAGGCTGCGGTTGGAAAGTAGCCTCTGGGAGGTGGGGCACTTGGCTTTCTCCCACTCCCTGGACACAGGAGGCCGGGCTGAGGCAGGGGAGCTGGGGCAAGGCCTGCGTCCCACCAGACCTGACACCGACAGTCCGGGCCACAGGGGAGGGAGGGGCCCCCGTGCCCGGGCTTCCCGGGTGGGCCCGCTCCCCTGGACTCGGTCCTTGGAGGCTGCAGCCCCCCAGCTCCCCTCCCCTGCACGCTCCTCCTGGCCAATGCCGGGAAAGCCTCCTGCCTGAGAGCCTCTCTCCCCGGGCGGGCGGGACATGCTGTGTGTACAGATGAGGTCTGCTGTTTGCACCACATGTCTCTGGCAGGCAGTTCGGGTGAGTGACGCTGGCGTCGTTTCACAGATGTCAGGAGCGAGTCCGATGGGGGTTGGCGTGTACAGTCAGTGCCTCTGGCCAGACCCCCCACCCCCACCCCTTCTGCCTGGGTCACGCCTCTCCCGACCTCTGCACGTCTTGTGGAGCCTCCCGGAGTGGGGCTGAGTCACCGCCGGGGGGGTGGGGAGCGGGTCCGGGCTGGGCCTGCCGGGCCTTTCTGTTTCTCCGCCAGGAGCCCAGTCTGTTCTGCTCACTAATCCGTGGCCCTGCTCTGCCTGGGTGAGGGCAGAGAGGCAGCCGTGGGCAGGGCTCGGACCCTGGGGTTGGGGGAGTGCCCAGGGGGCGGGGGGGGCAGTTTATAGTGTCCTGAGGGCATCTGCTGCTGAGGGCACTTTGAGGAGAGGAGAGCCATGTTATGGTCTCGGGCCAGGGACCCCTGTCCTGTGGGGAGGCCTGCTCTCTCTGGGGGGCGCTCTGTGTGTGTATGTGTCTTTTGAGAGACATGGAGTTCATTATGCACGAAGGACGCATCTGTGTGTCCAGTGCACGTGTGTGCACCTCTTCGTGTTCACCTGGCCACAGTCTGTGTGGGTCTTTGCCTGTCTTAGTGAGCTTACGTGGCTGTGGAGCAGAGGGGACCTGGCTTCTGTCCCTGCCAGTCCTGGCCCCTCCTCTCTCCCATTCTGAGGATCAGCTGGTGGTGGGATAGGTGGGCAGGCCCAGGGCGGGGGGGGGGGGGGGACGACGGACACATTGCCTTCGGAGAAGCCTGTTTGTGTATCTACCTTCTCGCCTGCTTCAGCCAACACCTCCCCCCCATTCCCAGTTCTTCAGAGGTCAGGGTGGCTCAGGGCGGCTCTGGGAACAGGGTGATCAGTAGGGAGTGCGCTGTGGAGCAGCTGGTGGGGCTGCAGAGCAGTGGGAGGACAGCACACCCTGATTCCAACTCAAGGGCCCCCTGACCCTCGCCACCCCAGGAGCTCACACAGAGAGTGGGAGCTCTGCAGAGGGCACACGGGGGACCACCCAGAGTTCCGAATCCCCCGCATCCTCACCCTCCTTTCCTATCGCCCTGGGTGTTCCCCATCCTCAGTGACGCTGCCCGCTGCCTGGGAGGTCACGTGACCCCGCTGTCCGGTCCTGAGGCCGCCTGGTTTTCCTTCTAATCAAATAAACAAAGACTCCAGTGTCCTGCATGGCCCTCTCCCCCCATCTCCCATCCCCACGCCCCTGCCATGAGGTCACAGGCAGATGCTGCCAGGAAGCAGGGTGGCCGCTGCTGGGCCTTGCTGCCTGCTGGTCCCTGCCAGCTTGGCCCTTTCCTTTTCCTGCCTCCCCTCCCCCTCCCACTCTTTGCCCCTCTGCCATTCTGTCCTCCCCCCTTCCCCAGGCCAGTGTGGGTCTATTCTGGGGCCAGACCTGTTAGCTCCTAAAGGCCTTTGCTCCTGGGGCTTCTTGGAAGGACTTGGGCAGAGACCTGTGTGGCCTGGGGCCCTTCAGGACTTGGGGTGGGGGTGGGGCAGGAGGAGCCGCCTCTTGGTATTCCGCTTATCCCTGTTCTCATCACCCTGTGGGATGCCTGGCTCCTTCAGCCAGAATCGCAGGGCTCCTGAGGGTGGGGCCGGGTCCCATTTCACCTTGTATTCCTTCTCCTAGGGTGGCCCTTTGGCCCACACCCTCCTCCCCACAGCCTGCCTCAGGTGGGCTGGCCCGCGGGGAAGGCCACAGTTTGGGTTGGGTTCAGTGGTTCTGTATTTGTCCCATTGAGGCCCCAAGTGAAAAGACATGTGCAGGGTGAGACTAGAACTCTGAACTTGACTCCCAGGAAAACTTGGTCTTTTTCGCCCCACGCCTGCTGCGTTTATTGCCGTATTCAAGAACATGCCTCCCAAGCTCTCTGGGATGGTAAGTTCTGCACCAGGCAGGGGCCCACCAATCAGGGCCTGCGAGCAGGAACAGCGGCTGGCTCAGAGGCTCTGGCCCTGGCCCACCTTTTCATAGCCCCATCCCAGGGTTGGGTGGGACCTTGCAGAGCCTGGATGCAATGCCGCTCCCCCCTGAGCTCCCGGCAGCCCTGATGGCTGGGCTAAGAGGCAGTTGCCAAGGTGCCCTAGGGTTTCTGACTTAACTGCAGATCTGCTGCCAGGATCGAATTTACCCTGGTCATGCAAATGAGCATTCGGCTGTGCCTGGCATGGGGAGCCGGGTGGGACCCAGGGCCTGGTATGAAGAGAAGCGGGAGGCAGCCAGGAGGAAGTTATATAATGAGGATGCTGAGGGGCCAGGGGGACTTCAGTGTTACATAACTGGGAGAGTGGTGGGGAGGAAGGCGCTAACACGGGAGGAGGGGAGAGAGAGAGAGGGGAGAGGGGGGTGGACAGGCTGGCGACCCGCCCAACAAAGAACTAGGGCATCTTGAGGTCAGAGAGTGGGCAATGGCCCAAAAATAGGGTAAGGAAAGGAACCTTGGGCCAGTTCATTCACGAATTGGCTCATTCATTCAGTAACTATTTACTGAGTACCTACTGTGTTTAGTTTACCCCTGGCTTTAGTCAGGTTGAATTCCCTCAGCACTTTTTCTCGATGAGGAAACTGTTGGGCTGGTTTTTTATTGTTTTTTTTTTGTTTTGTTTTTAAATGCTTTTATTGATTTCAGAGAGGGAGGGAGAGGGAGAGAAAGAGAAACATTCATGATGAGAGAGAATCATGGATCGGCCGCCTCCCACAAGCTCCACACTGGGGATCGAGCCCACAACCCGGGCATATGCCCTGACCAGGAATTGAACCCTTCAGTCCACATGCTGACACTTGACGCTCTATCCACTGAGCCAAACTAGCCAGGTTGGGGCTGTTTTGTTGAGAAGGAAGGCCATGGTAATAATTTCTACTACTGAGCACTCTATGCCCAACTCCAGATCTAACACTTCAAATGTCTGTGACCCTCACAGCTCCATAGGCAGATCATGGTGGTGGTCTCCCTTTACAGACGAGGAAACTGAGTGCAGAGACTCCACTGCTATGTCCACCGTGCAAAGCAGCCTCTCAGTTTGCATGCCTCACACCCTCCTTCATTTTCTATCTGACCTTGGGGCCTGGCAGGTGGGCGGCCGGGGGCTCTCCATGCTGCCTTCTGAGTCTAATACAGGAGCTGGGGGCTCCTGCCCAAGATGGAGAGGGACCTGTGGGGTGGGTGGCATAGGGTCTGGAGTCAGGAGTCATGGGATTACATTAGGCCACCGTGGTCAAATGTCATCCCATCTGGTGAGACTCTGCATCCTCATCTGTAGAATGAGGAGGTTGGAAAGGACCCCAGTGCCCTTCCTTATAGTCTATGGTCCAAGGCCAGAAAGGAGACCCTGGGATGTTTTTACTTGTGGCCAGGACTGCCTGTGGTGCCCCCGGGAGCTGAAGATGATTCGGTTCCAGTGGGCCTTCACCGTGGACCCCCTCATGCCTGTCACGTGTGTCACTCAGTCCCAGGAGACCAGCCTACTCCTGCTTCAGAGAAAGCACGCCCTGAGCTCCCTCCCCAGGGCAGGGCTGGTTCCAGTCTGAGTCTGACAGCTGCAGCGGGGAGCGAGCCGTTTCTCGGCAGGACCTGCCCACCCTTCCCTGAAGCCCCGGAGCGGGTCGTTGTGGCTTGCTCCCAGCCAGCTGTGCCAGCTTGGGATTTGGGGTGGGGAGCTTCCTTAAGACCCAAATGTGAGCCAGGTTTAACATCTGCCATCTCCCCCACCCATGCCCCCTGCAGGTCAGCAACATCAAGTTCCAAGCACCCAGTGGGGAGGAGAAGGAATCCTGGATCAAAGCCCTCAATGAAGGGATCAGCCGAGGCAAGAACAAGGCTTTCGATGAGGTGCGGTGAGGTCCTGCGGACAGACAGCCCCGTGTCCCCTTTCCCCTGTGTGAGCTCAGAGAGGGCCCTGCCCCGCCTCGCCTCAGACCCCTTGGTTATGTCACTGCTGCACACTGGCCGGGCTGTTGTTACCTCATTTAATAATCACAGCACCCCTCAAAGTAGGTGGTAGCATTCCCACTTTACAGATGAAGAAACTGAGATGTAAGGAGATTAAGTGACTGGTTAAAATGACAACATGGGTGAGTGGTGGGGTAGAATTTCCAGCTTGTAGTCCAACAGCCGGTGGGCCCAGCCAGAGAGGTTTGGGGGTGAGCTGACAGCCGGAAAGCTCATTTTCAGTTTGGCCATGAAGTATAAGCCAGTGTCTGCCCGCAATGGCCACCCACTCCCTGCGCTGGAGTGGTGACAGTGGCCACAGTCAGGCTTGGGGCAGGCAAGGTGTCCCCTGGACCAGATCTCCTAGGGAGGATTATCTTTGACATCGTGGGGTTTTAGCTCTTTGGGCTAAGCTGGTCCTGGAGGCTGCCTGGGGTGGCCCTTGGACTGCAGAAGTGAGACCTGAGGGGAGCAAATCTTCCCAAGGCCCCTGACTTGGGGCTCGGCTCCTAGTTCATGTCTCAGTGGGACTGGCATGCTCGGAGCTTCCCCTTTTGTGGACAGGATGATGGGGGCATGGGCTGGGCCTCAGCCCACAGTCTGTTCCTCTGTGGAACAGACAGTTGGACCCCCAGGTGGCCTGAGCCTGACCTGGGGGCTGAACAGTCTCAGCTCCCCCCCCACCCCCAATCAAAGGACAGGCTGCTCTGGGATTCAGAGCCTGGATTTCCATGTGAATCTCACTGTGTCTTCCTGGGCTGCTCCTCACCCTTCTCCTTACCCTCAGAAGGAGCTGCTGCCTCTAGATGCTCTGGCCCGAGGGTCCCCGGGGAGCAGCCGGGGCCGGGGCAAGATTCCAGGGTATCCTGGGCTAACTCCTCGCCCTCCCCCAGCTAAGCCAAACACAGCCTCTGGGCCACTACATATTTGCAACAGACTGAGGGGCAAGGGCTGACAGCCCATATTAGGGCAGGAAGACTGAGCCCAAAGAGGGCAGCCACAAAGGCAGTGCAGAGCCAGGGAGCAGAGGTCCATCATGGGGAGATGCTTCAGAGAGAGGCAGGGGCGGGGCTCTCGCCCTGTGCGTGAGGATGTGGGTACGGGCTGTGCCTCTGAGTTAACACCTGGGCATTTCCTTCTCTCCCCAAGGCCTGGTGGGGACTGACCTGGTTCCTTCTCCTTCCCAGATAAAGGTGGACAAGAGCTGTGCGCTGGAGCACGTGACCCGGAACCGAGTGCGCGGGGGCCAGCAGCGCCGGCCGCCCACGAGAATCCACCTGAAGGAGGTAAGATTGCCCCCAGCCTGGACAGATGGGCGGGCAGTGAGCCTGGGACCCCAGCTCCTTCGGCCCCCTTTTTCCTGAGGACCCTGGAGCTGGTGCTTCCTGGGCGGTGCGGGTCTGAGTGCAGGCACAGGTGTCAGTCGTGCTCAGCGTGTAGATGTGCCTCCTGCGCTGTGGCCCACACGCCGGCCTCGGCCAGAGTTGGTGCCCTAGGGAAGCAGACCCCAAGTGGTCTGTGCCTCTCAGAGCCCAGCTCCCAGCTGGAGAGAGATGTGCAGGCAGGGCTGCGTCTAGTTTTTGTACAGAGGACCCCCTGCGCCTGAGCAGCCCTAGAAGGACGGGAAGGGTTTCAATTGGCAGATGTGGCGGGAGGGCGGGGGCCGGTGGAGGGCGTGGTGTGAGCTGAGGCAGGAGGCAGGAGAGTGCAAAGCGTGCCAAGTCGCTCTGGGACAGCTTTCAGGAACCGGGGGTCAGGAGGAGGAAATTGGGAAGACCTTGAATGCCGGAACTGAGGACAGGATGGGTGGGAGGCTGTGTTCCAGAGGTCAGTTTGAGGCCCAGGCAGCAGGAGTTTGGATTGAGGGGAGGAAAGGTAGGGGGCCAGGAGGAAGAGGAGCAGTGGGGGCTCCAGGCTCCCAGAGGGGTTGGAAAGGGAGGGCCAGTGGGAGAGAGACTGAGAAGCAGGAGTCAGCCGGCTTGTGATTGCCTGCAGGCTGGGGGCGCACCCTAGAGAGACTAGGGGGGCTGTCAGAGGAGCCTCCACACCTGGAGGCTGGGCAGGTAGAGGCCCTGGGCACAGGGAGTTTGGGAGAAGATATGGGCAAAGGGAGGGGTGACTGAGGAGCCCCTTTCAGACCATAGTTGCTGGGGGGGTGGATGGTGGGTGGTAGAGACCTTGGAGGTCGGGACAGAACCTCAGCACCTGCTACATTTGGGGGGTGGGGCAGTGAAGAGCCAAGAAAGAGGAGGCCAGAGAGGCGAGTGGCGCATCCAGGGAGAGAAGGCACAGGACCCCTGGGTCATCAGCCAGGTTGGCACCCACAGTCACAAGGGCAGGATGAGGGACAGGCAGGGGGTAATGCTTATGCATATTCGCTCAGCAAGGTCAGCTTGGGGCTGTCATGGGGTGCAGAGCTAAGAGTGCTGGAGTGGGGGACCAGAGGAAGAAAGGGGGGGAAGGGAAGGGGCAAGGTCACCGGAGAGCTTGCTTTGAGGTGAGGCAGCCTGTTCCTGCCTGTCAGCCGAGGGAAAGCTGCAGAGGGGAGGACTGAAGTAACCAGAGAGCACGGCAGACCTGAGGTGGGAGATGTAGGAGGTGCAGGGAGGGCCAGCTGGAGGGGAGACCCTGTGAGGAGACTTCAGGGAGGGACGCTCATCCCAGGGACTGAACATGTGTCACCAGCTCACCTGTGTGCATGTAGAGGGGAGTGAGGGTCCCCGCCAGACCCACCACCTGAGGGACCAGGAGAGGCCGGCTGCCCAGCTCTGCTCCAGGGCCCCTGAGGCTCCCGGGGAAAGTCCCCAGGACCAGGTGGCTGTGAGGTGTCCCTGCGGAGCCCTGAGGCCCAGTGGGTGGCAGCTGTCTGCTTGGCGCAGCTGTTCCCCTCGGCAGTCAGCTGTGGTCTGGGCTGCCATGCCCGGGGCCACGTCTGACCATGTGAGGACAGTAGGCACAAGCGGCCGAGCAGCTGGGCAGGCGAGGGCTGGAGAGATCTGGGCCAGAGGGCTGGGTGTGGGCTGGCAGGCTGCACAGCGGTCTCCAGGGAGGGGAAGCAGAAGTGAGTGAGCGCAGACAATGCTGGAGACTTACTGAGTCCTGGTCCTGGCACCTGCTAGGTGGGTGGTTGCAGAGAGGGAACACTGTCCAGGCCAAACAGCCAGGAAGGGTCAGAAACAGGCTGGAGCCATGTGCCCTGCTGCCCAGGCCAGCACAACGGCTACTAAACAGAGCGGCCTCTTTCCCCGGCTGGAGGAAACCGGCTGGGGCACCGAGGGGACAGCCAGCTCTGACCTCTGGCCTGTGATTCTGACACACGGAATTCTCCAAGTGCGGGAGCAGCGGGTTCATCAGAGGGCGTGGGCAGGGCCTGGGACCTGGGCAGCCTGGAGGGGAGGGCTGTAGTCCCCCTGTGGGCGGGCACATCAGACCCAAAGGTCCATGCTGATGTCCATATGCTGCCCCCTCCAGGTAGCCAACGCAGCTTCTGATGGACTTTCACGCCTGGACCTCGATGCTCTGGACAGCAGGCCGCCAGGGCTTACCCCCGGCAATGATGTCAGTGCAGCCCAGCCCCGGGAGGCACCCCGGCCCCTCATGCCTCCCACCAAGCCCTCCCCGGCTCCCGAGGTGACCGTCCTTGGTGACAGAGTGGAAACCCCTGTGGGGCAGAGAGCCCCAACCCCTGTCTCCGAAAGCTCTGAAGTGCAGCCTGAGAGCCAGGAAGACTCAGAGACGGCTGTGGGCGAGGACAGTGCCTCTGAGCAGCTCCCCAGGGTCCTGCCTGAGAAGCTGAAGGTGAGCTGGGACAACTCCACCCCCGAGGAGCCCCCTGCGCCTGAGACTGCGGGACCAGCCGAGGCGCCCTGTTCTGAGACTTCCGAGGCCCCGACCAAGGAGGCCGGGCAGCCCCCCACGCCCCCACCCAAGATCCTATCGGAGAAACTGAGAGCCTCCATGAGTGGGGTGGAGGCTCCGGAGCCAGCCCAGAGTCCCGGGGCCTCCGAGCCCTCTGCCCCCGGCTCAGCACAGGCTTCAGTGAATGGCGTGGACTACAGTCCCGAGCCTGCCGAGCCATCCCAGGCTGCTGGCACTCCGGGAAGCCCCCCAAAGAACGGAACGGCTTCTACAGTGTTCCCCTGGGACCTGCCATCTCAGATCCAGCCCCGCCGCTCCTCCATGGGGGACCTGCTGGGGGAAGGCCCCCGGCGCCCGCAGCAGCGGCTGTTCCGGGCCCAGCTGGAGGTGCAGGTGGCCTCCGAGCAGACGGAGAAACTGCTGAACAAGATGCTGGCCGGCGAGCCGGCCCCGGTGAGCGCCGAGACGCTGCTCAGCGAGGCCGTGGAGCAGCTGCGGCAGGCCACCCAGGTCCTGCAGGAGATCCGAGATCTGGGAGACCTAAGCCAGGAAGCACCCGGGCTGCGGGAGAAGCGGAAGGAGCTGGTGACCCTCTACAGGAGAAGTGCACCCTAGGGCCTGCCGGGCCGGGGCGCGGCCCCTGCTGGCTGGCCGCGTTCACCGGAGCCCAGCCCTGCCCAGAAGTGTGCTTCTGCTCGGGCTGCGGAAGAGCCGTCGGACATGTCAGTGTTTGGCCGGGACCTGCAGAGGCTCCGGGACCCTTCCTGCCTTGCCTTGGCCGGTGGTGCAGGTGTCACCCAGGCCCACGTCTGGCCGACTGGCCTGGCCCCCGGGCCCCGGCTCAGCGGGGAGCACACACTCAGGACCTCTGCGCTCGCATGGCTGTTCCGATCTGCTCCAGGGCTTTGGCCCAGCACTGGGGGTCTGGGGGTGGCATCGTCTCTGCTTCTCACCCTCGGTAGTTTACATTCCTGACTTCTGAACAGAGCACAGCTAGGCCCCCCGCAGCCTCTATGTCCAGATCCTCCCAGGCAGACAGCCTCCTGGCAAAGGCAGCTTCAAGGCGTAACCAGCCCTCCTGCCCACCTCTTCCCAGCAGCTGCTGACGCCGTGGGTCTAGGCTGTAGGTTCATCCCTCAGCTGCAAGCCCCTGAAGGCGGGTGGGAGGCAGGTGTGAGAAAGCCGCTTGCTGTGGGCCCTCTCTGGGCCTTCCTGTTCTGCAGGCCTTCCCTGGGGAGAGTGCGGGGAGGAGGAACCTGAAAGGTCCCCTCGTCCAGTCCCCGCCTCTGGGCCAGCTGGTGTCCAGCCCCACGCATTCCTCTGCAGGTGAACTTCAGAACGGCCCGATGTCAGTGTCGGAGAATCCCGTATACGATTCGTTCTAAATCAGCCTTCAGAAGAGAAGCCGCCCCAACATCTGTGCCTCCCCAGACGGATTTACATCTGGGTCTCTGTGGTTCCCCCACAACCAAACAGGTCCAATATCCCAGTCATTTACTCTTTCGCTGAGGGGTATGCTGGGGCCTGAAAACACATCCCCTCCAACTCCCCTCACCCCTGGCTCAGGCCCTAGATGGGCTGCGCTTCCTGAGCTTCCCAGTGGGAGGAGCATTTTCTCCTGGCCCAGCCAGCACCTGGGCCTCTCAGAGCCCCTCCCTGGCTCCAGGAGCACATCTGGCCCCATCCTGCTGCAGCAGCTGGACTGAGGGCTGCAGCCACTCTCCCTGGGCCCGGGGGAGTGGGAGCAGCTCCTCACAGGCTTGCTCAGGGGGTTCTGCTTGTGCACTTTCGTTTACTGAGAGAGGAGGGGGAGGGCCACAGCTGTGCACTCTGGCCTTTCTGCCCACTGCCCACCCCCTGCCACCAGTAGTGCCCACTGAGGCCTGCCAGTGCAGGCCCGTGCCTTCTTTCCTGTACTTCTACCTGTTATTGAGGGCAGTAGCCAGGGGTCAGGAGGGCAGATAGAGGTTCACTCTGTAGCCCGACTGGGTGTGAGCAGCAATGCCGGGACTCATGAGCCCCATGGGTCTTCCCAAACCACACTCTTTGGAAAAACCAGGCCCCCGTGCCACGTTCTGCCTGTCCGTCTGTCTCCAGTGTGAGAGCAAGAACGCCATCAAGTACCCGCAACCACGTGGCCCCTGTGGTCTTGCTTTGGGGAACAGCCCTCCTGTGCGGGCTGCTGGGCTTTAGCCCATCACCTGCTTTCAGGGACAGGAGCCTCGCTTTCCCCTCTGATAAGTGACCAGGCTGAGGGAGCAGCTCTGGGGCAACCTTAGTGGCCTAAGGCCATTGGCTCCTATAGGGTCCCCGGACCTGGGCAGCCTGGGTCCCAAGGGGGAAGCCAGCCTCCAGGGGAGGGAGGATGGGAAATGGGCAGGGGCTGCCTTCCTGCCTCTGGAAGGGGATGGCGTTCCATGTCTTATGCTTACGAAGTTTGGCAATAAATCCCTTTTCATGGAACTTTTCTGCCGCCAGCCTGTTTGTTGGTGTGGGGCCAGCTCCGGGGTGGCCTCGGAAGCAGGGGCCGGAGGTTTGGTGGCCTCACCGGTCCCCGTGCCAGGGCACCCTTCCACAGGCCAGGCGGGGCGGCGCCCTCCGCGGAGCTCCGCCTTGGATATGTCACCGCACCGCTGTACGGGCTGGGCTGTCAGGAACAGTGCGTTTCAGTTTTTAAAAGCTTTATTTGGAAATTTCAAGCAGGAAGGTTGCAAGAGTAAGAGCAGCACATAGAACACCATTACACTCATACCCTGATTGACTCCTGGTTTATCTTTTGAGCCTTTCACTCTCTAACATATGTACACACAACTTTTTCTGAGTCATTGGAGAATTACCATGGCCCCTTACCCCTGAATACTTCAGAGTGTATTTCCTAAAAATAAGTGTATTCTCCTATGTAACCAAGTATAGTTATCAATTTCAGAAAACTTAACACCAGTATAATAGTGACTGTTACAATTTGTCATATGACCCAATAATGTCGGCTATCATATTTTCCCTCTAGTGTAGGGTTGGATATTGCTATTGCATACATGTCTCTTTAGTCTCCTTTAATCTGAAATGTTCCCACAGCTTTTATCTTTCATGACATGGACATTTTTGAAGAATACACTTTCTCTCCATATTGTTTTTAGTTTTTTGTGTTTTTTTTTTTAATTCTCACCAGAGGATATGCTTGCTATGATTTTAGAGTGAGGAAGGAAGAGAGAGAGTGAGAAACACTTGTGGAGAGAAACATCCATTGGTGGACTCCACATTATGACTGAGGATTGAACCTGCAATCTTTTGGTGTACGAAGGACATTCCAGTCAACCAAGCCACCCGATTAGACGCCCCCTTCCCTCCCTCACCAGCCCCCCATCCCTCTTTAATAGAATATTCCTCACTTTGAGTTTGGCTGAGTCTCCTCACTATGAGATTGAGGTTATGGGTTCAGAAAACTGCACAGGTGCTCCTAAGTCCTCAGGGCATCACAGCTGCAGACACGCATCCATCTGCCCTTCATTGATGTTAATTTTGATCACCTGGTCAGGTGTCTGATTTCTCTACTGGAGAGTTAGAACTTTTCTCTTGTAACAAATAATTTGGGAGACACTTTAAGACCATGCACAAATATGTTGCACCTCATCAAATATACCCCGTAGATTCAGCCTCCATTGAGAATTCTTGTCTGCACAGGTGTTTCCTAGGATGGTTCAAAACGATCCCAACTGCTACTTTAACTCGGAACCTCGTTCTGGTTAGGGGTGAGCCTGGGCCCCACCTTATGCCAACGGTACCCCTAAGGCATCTCAGCAGCACCCCAGGACTTCACTGAGCGTTCTTTGGCTCCAAGTCAAGCTGCTAAAGGTCATGTTCCACCCAGGGACTTGGGTGAGTCTTAGACTCGGGGGTCTCAGTTTCCTCACCCACGAAAGGGGAAGGGCCCTGCTCCCCACTTCCCTGAGTGGGAAAGCACCACTGTGCTCCCCAAAGGCTGCCTCCCTTGCTCCTCTGAGGGCTGCTGGACAGTCCCGGTGGCCAACATAACAGGAAGCACCTGATCCGGGCCTATTGCCTATAGCTGTGACCCCATGTCCCTCCTGAAAGCCATCCTGAGAGAGCCGCCTGCAGAGGCTGGGACACCCACAAGCAAATCATTTCACTTTCATGGCCAAAGCGAGGGAGAGGAGCCCCTTTATTGACGGGGGTGTTTCTCGCACCCTGGCCCAGAAAGAAGCCCCCCTCTCCCCCCCGTGGGCTGCCTCACAGGGGACGGCTGCTGGGAAGGTGTCCGTGGCCAGCCACCGGGCCGGAAAAGATGTGGTGAAACTTGCTTTCCCTCTGGTCCTGGGCGGTGCAGGGAAGGCCTGCCTTTGGAACCCAGGCTGTGTTACCTCCGTGGCCCCAAGTCCTGGGGGCAGTTTCGGTCCACGGTTCTGCACATCACAAGGTGGCCACCTTCAGACAGGACCCCGACTGAGCAGGGGCTGGTGGGGGAGGGGCACCCAGATCGCCCCTCTCCGCCCCTGCATGAGCCCGGGGCTTGGAAGCTCCCTGTGTCTTTCTGGAGCCGCCATGTTTTGTGTCCTCTTCCAAGCCCTGTCTTCTGGCCGCTCCTCACTGCATGAGACATGAGACGGGGGTCCAAAAGGCCACACAACCCCACTCAGTGGAGGTTTCTCTGTGTTGTGAGGAGGGTCTGTGGGAGAACATAGACGACAGAGAGGTAATGGTGGGAACTCTTCCCTGTTCTCATAATTGTATTAAAGGGACAACATTTCTGGAGGAAATAGCTGGGTGTAAGTAGAAAAGCTATGATTTCAGATTTGGAGGCAGACATGTCCCAGCCATGAATAAGTTACCTTAGGCAAACTGTGCCTCAGTTTTTCCCGTCTGTAAAATGGGCTAATTCGCCTTTCTTCACAGGGTTGCTCTCAGCCCGTGGCCCGCCTCATAGAAAATGGTTAATAAACCCCAGCAGCCTGGCCCCACAGAGCAGCTACTGTCTGGCAGGCCTATGTTGGTCTCTCATTGTCACCACGTGGCCTCATGAGGAAGATATATTTATATTCACTCCATTTACAGGCTAGGAAACCGAGGCTTACACAATTTGCCTAGGAGACCACAAGTCAGTTTTGGGATCTGAGACTCGCCCCACTAGGGTCCTGGCCTGGGGCCGCCATCAACTGCTTTCTGCTTTTTCTCTGGAGAGTCTGTGACTTCAGATGGACACTCCGCTCAGGTGACCTCTGGCAGGCCTGGGGGAGCCCCACCTCTCCTGGATCCCCCTGGGCTGGCCTGGCTCTCCACCAGCCAGCTGTGGCCCAAGAGAGCGGCTCTGGAGGCCCTTCCCTTATAAGGACAACAACTGAGCTGTGATGAAACGGCTCTGCAGCCCAGCTGGTGGGCGGGAAAGGGAAATGACAGGCTCCAGAGGCACAGCTGAGCACTCGGCCTCCACAGGAACTCGCCCTGAGCCTCCTCTCTCCCCTTCCTGTGTCTGAGCTGCGCAGAGCGGGGCTTTCCAGTGGGTCTCACTAACCGAGGGCAGGAGGAGCCGGAGCCTGGGGGGCCAGAGCGGGGAGCCTGGAGAAGGGAAGATGCACAAACTGAGGCCTGGAGAGGGGACAGGGTCCTTCCAGCAGGAACCCCGCAGGCTGGACTCCGAGCTGTAGCCTATCAGCTCCGGCTCCGCCCTCGGACCATCTAAGGCCCGATGAGGAGGCAGGAGGAGGCTCGCAGACAAGTCGCCCTCCTCCCTTTGGGCATCTAAGGCCAAATCAGAAAAGGATGGAGGCATGGGTGGGGCTGGCCAGCCCCACCCTCCTCCGCCCATCGCGGCATCCCTAGTAAACTGCCAGCACCAGCAAAATCACCAGCCCACTCTCCATCTGAGAACCTAATCATGGGCTCACAGGATATCAGCCCTGATAAGGATCTTTAAGCCCATCTCGTCCCTCCAGGGTTTAGAGAGGAGGAAGTACAGCTCAGAGGGAAGATGCGAACTTGCCCAGCTGTACTGTAAAATTAAAAAACATGACATATATATGTTATATATACAAGTTATATATATACACAAGTTATATATAT